AGCATGCCCTGGGGCAGGGACAATCGGTTACCATTGTCTTCCCAGTCATCTGCTCGAGGTCGTAGTAAAACTCAGACAGGAGGCGTGCCTGGAAAAGCTGAGGTGGGGGGCGGGGGGAGGACATCAAATGACTGGTGAAAAGTAACTCAACGCGGAACCCGGCTCTGATCTTAAACACTTGCATACTGACTGCAGGAAGCAAGATTCCAATCTAAACACGGCTTTTTCCTAAATCAATTGCAGTTGCCCTCAGACCTTGAAGTAAACATATGGTACCCGACACACTTTGACCCAGAATGAAACCATTACAGTGATCGACAGCATAGACAAGCTTTAAATAACTCAAATAATTCATGTTGAATCCATAAACGCCATACAAAAGGCTTTTTCTAAACCCCCCCCACCCTTCCCAATATGTTCAGGCAGTGGAACAGAGTGAGTTAACTCCACAGAGGAACAGGCTTGTAGGAAATCAGCACGTGTTTTGTGACACACTCTGGTCCCTTGCCAGCAAAAGACCAGGAAAAGGTAAATAGTTTCAGGACTGTTGGTCTCTTTTTCCCTTCCTCTCGACTTGTTTTCTCTCCATATATTCTTTTTATTACGGCCCCTCAGTCCAAAGCCCCCTTAACATTTCAGCCCATTGAGAAGCTCTTAAGTGTTAACTGTCTCTTTTCAAACATTGACATTTAATACACTATATAAATCACTCGTTGGAACCGTTGTTCTTTCAAGAATGCAATTACATGCTCTCAAATAAAACTTGAAAGGGTCTGCGTGTTTTAAACCCAAGTGAGCGCTTGTAGGACAACAGGAAGGAATTCCGAAGCGGCGGGAATGTGCCACGTCCCTATATAAACCCCCGTCTGGGGACGGGGCGCGGGCCGGGGGGACGCCGAGGGGACACGTGTGTTCACGGCCGCCACATTTTGGGCAGAAGGCCGTGGGCCTGGACATGTAAAAAAAGTGAGTTGGCCGAAGAATCACAATTCTCAGTGCCGTAGGAGTGTAGGAACTAGCCTAGGTCAGGGAGGGCCTTTGGTGCGATGGTCCAGACATGCCCTCTGAAATCGCCATCTTTTTGAGTGACATTCGTGCGCATTGATCTGTGTTCTGAACTCTGAACCTCCATTGGATTTATCTCAGCAGCCCCCACCCCAGCCAAGGAGGGGGATATCAGTTGTGAAAGAGCCTCCCCCAGAAAACACGTGTTCGTCCAGCCACCCACAACCTGAGGAGGGCTTCCATGCCATTCCCCGCGCTCGCTCGCTCCCCGCTCGCTCGCTCCCCGCTCGCTCGCTCCCCGCTCGCTCGGCCACCAGCTGCAGTGCTATCTCTCTTCGGTTATGTGCTGATTAATGGGCGACTGAAGTAAACACGCTGATGTATTTTGCGTAAACTGACACAGGATTCGTGAAAATTAGTGTACACTCATTATTTTTGCTCTTACCGTTCATGACAAGTTTGAAACTCGAACGGAACAGGCGAACAAAGAGCGAATTTAGATATTGCCGCTTTATATTAATCTTTGCTTGTTCGGTTTTACAAGCCTGAACATATTTCTTGTCCCGCTTCAATAAATATTTGTCTGCACTCTACATATACAGACATAGATGTTTTTGTAAGTAATGAATAATTGAAGTGTTAAGCTGAAAATTCCAAACAACGGCTCAAAATGACAAATTTGGAAAACAGGAGAAAAAAGGAAATAGTTGTATAACATATTTGCAGCAGGGGTAATGTTTTAGCTATGAAACCCTCAGCATACACAGAAAAAAATGACAAAGTAAGCATTTAATCAAATTTTCAGGTTACACCAATTTCACCGTACCCTAAAAGCATTTCGACAAGCACACTAATGGGACACTGGGGTACGCTCTTGGTAATCGTGTCCAGTCAGCAGTCGTTTTCAGAAGCGCCCCCCCCCCCCCCAAACCTGCAGCTTAATGCCACAGCATGCCTACAGAGTTAGGCCTCGAGATACTCACACTAGGAAGATATGAGATATTTTTAAGGCTGAACAGAAAGTACCTTTTGTGTGTGTGTGGTGTCTGTGAATTTTAGGTATTATTTTTACCTACTGGGAATATAGATCCACACCTTCCCTTGCCTGCAATCCATCTTTCAAACACTTTTCCCATATGGAACCTAGAGATTTCGTGGCAAAGGGACACTTTGGATGGGATGCTTCAGTACGTGCGAGATGATTAACTGGTGAATGCTACCTTTGCTGAAACCAGGCCGCTTGGTGAAGGGCTGACAGAATGGGTGAGGCTGGGCACAGTGTAAATGCAGGAGAATGGAGGCCCTCATGGCCTCCCCGCATGGCCGGGCTCCCACGGGGGGGGCCCGCTTATCCGAAGCAGAGCCTGTGGGCCACGCTGCATCTCTGTCTACAATAAAGACCTCAAGAGAGAGAGAGAGGGAGAGAGCAGCCCAGATAATTAGCTCCACATTGCAGGACGGAGCCCTCAGGAGCAAGTGGACGTGACACACATTTTCCGCTGTTAATAAAAAATCAATAAAAGGCGTCTCTCCCGCGCGTTAAGCCTGCTCGCGTTTTATGGTAGGGGCCGGAAGCCTCCTGCCTCCCGGGCGGTACTGGGGTCCGGGTCGGACCCGTGGAGAGTAGCCAGTTAATGGGCGACTTCTGCTCCACCTGGGAATGCGTGTCACTCGCCCCGAGGAAAACAGTCACTGCATCCTTTACGGTCTTCCAGAACACGATTGGTTGGCATCGAGGAGCCAGTGGTTCGAGATGCGCATTGAAGACAGATGCCCTCTGCTGCAAAGCTAAGGGGGTCGCGCTACAAGAACCCGGTGCCTAATGGCATCTGCTGCTGCATAGCAGAGATCTTCGGATCAGGGGTTCAAACCAGTGTCTCAACTCACTTCCCATCCCATCATATAGAGGACCCATCATGGGTCCAGTCAGGCTTCAACTGGTCAAATGATGGTGCTCCTCTTAACATCCTTCAAGTGTTACTGCAAAACAATCTAACTAATAGCAGCGGCTCTTCACCTGGCACAGAAGTCTGATAGGCTGATAGGTCAGCTGTCACGGACTCGAAGTAAACAGCATCAGGAGAGGCACCCGAGCAAGTGCGTGGAAGGTCGGACAGGGGCTCGGTTCTCTGGTGAGGTCCAGGGAAATTGGACCGCCTGCTTTGCTTCGCTATGGGCCGGGGAGAACCCGGCAACGGGCTCCGCGGGAAATGGACGGCAACCCCCAATATCACAAACACGTGTACGTGGCGAGAGCACGGTGTTCGCACCCCAGTGCGGTGGAACGCGTGACTCGCCCCTGCAGTCCCTGATACCAGTGCTTACTGCTGTCCTGTCGCCAGTTCCCCAGCTTGTTAGCACGCCGCCGGAGGACTGACGCGGTGAAGCGATGCGCCGCCTGAAACAGCCCGCAGCCTCGCTGTGTTGCTTTTAATTACCAAGATTTAATGCAGGGGGTGGTGGTGGTTTAATTCATTTCCCACCATGGCAGTATACTTTATACACAACAGTTAAAGAATTACAGATGACATTGTTTTCCACACCCCACCCCCCCCCCCCCCCCCCCCTCCCCCCCCCCCCCCCCCCCCCCCATTTTTCCCAAGTCGTCCGTCTTCGATCCGACAGGGCGTCACGCCAGAGCTGCAAACCTGCCCCTAGCAGAGCTTAAGGAGCAGCCGAGCTAATGCTAACGGCTAATTGCCAGTTTAGCATTTTATACGAAAAAGGAAATTAGGGAGAATTTTATAGCGGGGAAGTTTTACGAGCAAACCGGCCAACTGAGGGATGCGGGCACTGCCCTGACGTCACCACTCGTCTGCCGCTGTGAAGCAGGTAATACCTGGTCTCTCTGTAAGCACGTCCACTAAACCCTTCCAGGCATCCAAATTTACAGCCGTAAAGCCGAGATTCGCTGCCTAGGCGACAGTGGAAGTACACCCCGTGGTCGTTCCTGATTCCGCAGTAGGAGTCCTGCTGAGAATCCAGATAGATTCGGGGAGGGCGTCGATTTGTTTGTGGCACCTGGAAACACCCTGCAACAATCGCGCCTGCTGGCATTCACGATGGACGTGAGCATCCTCTGAGTCCTCCTCGCTGCGGTCGAACAAGGCTCTTTGAGGATGAGCGACGAATACAGCGAAGATGAAGCGGCGGAAGGTTGTGGGAGCACCTATAGGAAAGGCGGTCATAAAACAAGGAATGAAATTTTCCATCTTGCTGTAATGTATGTGACGGCGGAGGTGTTCACCTTTACTGCCAGCTACAGAGACACTCCACAGCTTCCCCTGGACCCTCTTCTCTTCGTCTGCATCTTCCCAGTCTGGGTCGACACCTTCTCACCCTACCTTCCACACACGCACTCCCAAAGCAGCTCGTCTCCAACACCGTGCATCTCCCAAAATACCCTCCTGTGCCCACTGTGCCTTACGAAAACACACCCGGGCGCGGACGTCTCCTCCAGCCATCCCAGACTGCGGCCCCACTTTCCACCCCCACACGTATCGTGGATGTGATGAAAAAAGCATATATATTTGGCTTCCTACCACCACAGTCTAAAAGGAAAACATGAAAGACGTTATTCTGTTTGGCTCAGGCTTGCAGTGGAGGAAACCGTAAAACACACACACACATATATATATATATATGTATGTGTGTGTGTGTGTTAGAGGATATGTTTAAGTGATCTTAAATCTAAACATATACTATGGGGCAAATGCGTTGAACTGTGTTGCGAGATGCGTGTCTTTTTTTATGGATGAGACTACATTTAAACGGTCTTATAAACATGAGGCGAATTCCTTCGGAGACATTTTGCGTTCCTCGGTGAGCCGCCGGTTGATTTCTGCACATTTCTGGAGAACGAGGAGCATGTATGAATTAAACAGAGAGACAGGGAGGGAGGTGTCTTGCCAGAGTGATAAAAAATAAATATTATATCAGGCCGCCGCAAAAATGTCTTTGTTTTGTTTGTGTTCTTTTTTTTCTTTTTTCTCAAGAGAAGCTTCATGAGGAATCAGCTCCGAGAGGATCTCTGGACAGGCAGTCGTCCAGATTCCAGCGAAGGCACATAATCATCCCACGGCGCGTGTAATTATGTGCGTGATGTCAGCGGGCAGGCGGGGGGTGCAGGCGGGGGGTGCAGGCTGGGTGCAGGCCGGGTGGGCATCAGACGCCTCCTGAGTTGCTTGCTGACTAGTTCAGGTTTGTAATCAGGCATCCGTTTGTGTCCGGCCCCTCCCCCACCAAGCGAGCCCCTTGCTCGGTACGGGGGTGTGTGTGTGTGCGTGGAGGGGGGAGTCCGGCCAGGCCCCGCCCACATGAAGCCACATGGAAGGCGGGGCCGGTTCAGGGCGGGCTGGGCAGTGCGTGATGGGTCTGTGAGATAATGTGTACGTACTCTGGAGACTCCCAGACGTGGCCCTCTAACTACGGCCCTGCGGTCGCCTCCCGTTTGCTTTGCCCCGGCCCAAAAGAAATTAATTGCAGGTCCACTTGGAAAACGAGATTATTTCCAGGAGTTCCTGTGTGTAATTTAAATTAATTCGTTGCGCAAAAAACCCTGAGAGTCAATAGCCTGCCATCAGGAGATCCTGGTCACTGGTCTGAAAGCTCGGTGCGTCTGTTTTCTCGTGGGAGCTCCCACTGCACCTTGTGGGGTGACATCACAACTTTGGCAGATTCCATTCGTAATGATTTGGTGCGATTCTATGAAAAACCTTCTAGTTATTATTTTTACAGTATTATATCTGAATTTTTTTTTGTTGCTTGTTTTAGTATTGCTTAATATGTTATTACTGTGTTATTACCTCTTAGTGATATGCAGTGAGTTTCATTGTCTCTATCATCTTTGTTGCTATGTTGATGTGATGTACGACCCTTTAATTCTGACATAAATAGTCAACAGCATTGGAGATTAGATTTATTTAAAAGTGTTGTTCTTTATTTGCAATTTAACGTTACTTTCCTGTGCTTCTGAGCCCTGTTCTTGTACGAATTGTTCCATTTACTTGGCAGACTCTCTTACCATGCAGATTTATGTTTTGTCCATTTATGAAATCCGTCACACTTCACCCAAGTTGGGGCTTTGTGCACATTTCCAGCAGTGGGGGCCCCCTCCTGGAATGTAGTCTGTCAGCCCTCGGGCCACACTTCCTTAACCGCCATGCCACCTGCTGTACATATGGGGAAGTGTGGTGCATTAAATAGCCACAGCTCGCCCACACTCCTTCAGATGCAGAAGGCCACCTCAGCCTTCACTGGGATTTTCCCGGTGTAATTTGCACGACTCTCTCAGTCACAGTCTTCTAAGTATGGCTCATCTGATTTAATAAAATATGCATCCATCCAGCTGAAGAAATATCCTGATATTTTCTTTAAAATTTTCATCGACCGCTGTGTAGTGTCTCTAACTGGAACAAAATATACTTGTGTGGTTCAGTGAAAACAAACTAACCAAAAAAAGCTTTAATACGAAAAATCTCTGTTTTCTCAACTTCTCATAGTTGGTGTGACCCCCAGAGACACCCCCACCCAAGTGACACCACCCAACTTCCAGCCTGACATGTTGTTCCAAGCCCTCGAATGCTGCGATGGAAGCACGAGGCGCCCTGTGAGTGACCAGGCTGAGACCCCCGTCCTGCCCTGGGGTCACATCTCCGAGGCAGACATGTTTAGATTTTTCCTCCTAAAGAAAACATTGTTCCATCATCCAGTCATTTTCCCCTTTCCCCTGTCTGTCCTCACTCTGTGCCGTCACTTGCTGCCGATGCCCTTCTCCAATGCTTCGACTCTCCTGGGGTCTCTCTCTGTTCTCAGTCCGCTCCACCCTTTCTTTTACAGTGAACCTCTCATTGTAGTCTGACACAATGGCGGGTGGCAGATAGCATATTACCGACTTACTGAATTACAGTAGACGTTTTTTTTGGGTCCCTTTGGTGGGGCGAAGAGCATGAACAGTATATGGGGGAGATGAGACAAGAATGAGACTTTGATCTCGTTTTGGGAGAGTTGAGGGAAAGGGAACTAACTCGAGACAGAACAGCGGGAAACTAACTGTAAACTCTTTGGTATGGGTGAGACAAGGGAACTAACGTTAAACTCTTTGGTATGGGTTAGACAAGGGAACTAACTTTAAACTCTTTGTTACGGGTTAGACAAGGGAACTAACGTTAAACTCTTTGGTATGGGTTAGACAAGGGAACTAACTTTAAACTCTTTGGTACGGGTTAGACAAGGGAACTAACGTTAAACTTTTTGGTACGGGTTAGACAAGGGAACTAACGTTAAACTTTTTGGTACGGGTTTGACAAGGGAACTAACGTTAAACTTTTTGGTACGGGTTAGACAAGGGAACTAACGTTAAACTGTAAAACTACGAGGGGTCATAAGTAATGTAGCAGTACACTATTACTTAATGTATTAATTAACCAGAAAATAAATGTTAATTACATACTGATCCGATGTTCATTCATCATTAGTCATCGGTTCATGTATTTCATGCAGGTACTATATTTGTACATGATTTGTAGAAACTGAGTTAGTACGCTAATTGTGCCCCTTCAAGTACAGTGTTACCCTAAACTCTTTGATATGGGTAAGACAAGGGAACTAAAGGTGTGTTCCATGTGAATTGGGAAGTAAGAATTTCTGAGTTCCTGGTTGGAAATTTCAAGTGGAACGCTCCCTGAAGTCGGAGTTCTGACTCAAAAAGACGGAGGAACCTCTAAATCCTGAGCTAAGAATTCAAGATGGCTGCGCTCTTCATCAACATAAGTGAAAGTTTTATACTGCCGGAGTGAAAGCAGTGAGATGGTTACAATGGTCCGTCAACAATGTTGCACAGCAAAACAGGAGAACTGACGTTAATCTCTTTGCTAGTGGTAAGAGATGGGAACTAACTGCAATCCCTTTGGTTCCAGCAGAAGTGACTCTAATCTCTGCAGCGACTGGACAAAGCAAACTAATCCCATTGGTAATTAGCTCCTCACCACTGCATACACATTTTTGACTGAAAACGATGCTAAAATATATGAAGGTACCGCAGGCTTTTTGTTAACAAAATGTACATGCTTCCATTGATTATCAATTACAGCTAGAAATTATATGTATTACTTGGGAAATAAGCTTGGCAGTTTGTGCTAGGCGGCATTTACTGTGGCATCAATAATTCAGTAAAACTGCAATGGCAGTTGTTTCAAATCTGTGTAATTATTCTGTGGGACAGAGACAGAAGGAGAGGGAAAGGTCATTTCATTATGGTAATTGCCTACAGCAGCATATCCAGCGGTAAACAAGGTCCCCCCCCCCCCGCCTCCGTGCTTGATGTAAACGATAAGTGGCCTCTGACCTTTAAAGTAAACATCTGGAGCGGGAGATGTTTCCCTGCTTGCTCATTTGGAGCTCGGCCCGACCTGTAAGGACTGTGAGACTTTTGCCCACGAGACGCTCCTGTGATCCTCCATCCTTCTGCTGTATGGGCCATGACCCCACACTCTCCTGGTACTGACCTGCTGGGCTGAGAAGTAGCCACCACATGTAGGTGAGTGAGGTGTAAGGAGTGCCTCTCCTCTTCTGGTATGTCCCTTGGCCGTGTGCCTGTCCAGCGTGGGAACTCAAGCTCTGCTTTAGGGGTGGTTTCCCACCCACACCTGACAGACAGGCTCAAACTGGCCCAGGATCGCCGTTCCCTGAAGCCCACGTTCAGAGCGGGGGCGGCCCTAGCAAGGCTGTACCCCAGCTGGTGGGTTTTGGGCATCTGCCTTCCGGCAATAAATGGAAGAAGATGACAGGCCAGCGTGTGGGAGTGAAGCTGATGGGTAAAACTCCCTCCCAAGGCTGCGGACTGAGGAACAAGACTGAGGTTCAGAAAATCGCTTAATGTTAAGTCAGAAATAATCCCCTTCGGGTGACAGTGTCCATTTGATAAGTAGCTACGGGTAGAGCACAGCGGCAGACTGGGGAGGGTGACAAACACCTAAAGTACTAGCATGGCACTGGAGGGGGTGGGGGGGGTCACCTATAAAAGGTTGCAGTTGTGCCCAAAAGCACGTGCTAATCAGGACGCGTAACTGAGGAGTGTGAGTCACTGTGAAAAGCCAGTAAGGGAGCAGTTTTTAATAAGCCACCCAGTGCATGAAGGCAGTGAAGCTCGAACCCGAGAGAGCGACGGACAGAGGAACAGTGGGAAGGGCCTGTGTGGTTTGAGCGCGTGGGTGACGGGAGGGGGGGAAGGGGGTGCATGGCGCCCCGGACCACCGCTGAGAAAAGAGGCCGGCCGTCAAGATGGACAACTTCCTACTCAGAGCTGATTATCCCCGCGAGGCTGGCTTTACAGTGCACTGCCCATTAGGAGGGACCCGCTTTACGGACTCCTAATGAAGACTGCAAACCGTGACGAAGGGGGGGGGGGCAGCGTGTGACCATGACGGAGACCCCGCCCACCGACACGTCGCAGCAGAAGAGGGGCCACGGGGGCCAGGGTCCTGAGGTCTCCTTATGATGAGGCCCCATCACACAGTCAGCCAATCAGAGCTGAGAGAGGGGCATGCTGGGAAGGCAGGGAGAAAGTGCCAGGGCTGATGGTGCACCATCTCGCTGCTTTCACTCTGGCAGGCTATTTGGGCGCACCCCCCCCCACCCTGTTGTAAGAGGGATCAAGCGGGGATGGTTAGAGCTCATTACATCACAATCTCCATTAGCATGCTAATCCATTAATGCCACGGGGCCCTCGCATTCCAGGCCTCGTGGCCCCCAGGGCTGCTAACATGTCAACCACTCCCCCCCACCCAAAACCCACACACACCTTACACCCCCCCCCCACCTCAGCCACAGGCTCCATAATACTCAGCACTGCTCTCTCATTCCTAAGTTTTTTTCCTTCTGAAAAAAATCTCTCACACACTTGGGCGTTTTATGTACTTCCTGTTCTCTGTCCAGCATCGCTGATAAAAAAAGGGTATGATGGGGGGGGCATTGGGTCTCTGTCCTGTTGGGGTTTAGCACTCGGTTACAGCTGAAACTCGATATCCTGGCATGGTGGTCTGTGATTGGTTACTGCTTGATCTGTTTCTTTTTTTTTTGTTTTTAATTGTGAAAGTTCCCCTCTGCCTAAGGTGCACCATGTGAGGCCCCGGGCATGGGAAGCGGGGGCCGCGCTTTGACTGCGGAGGGCGGGACACCAGAGGCATTCCTGCCCAAGTCACTCTAGGAAGGCACCTTTCATCTGCTGTTATGTACGCAAATCAGTGCAACAACAAGGAACGTCAATTTTACAGGGCCTGGGGGGCGCCATTCCTCTCCCTTGGCCGTTTTCACAGTAAGTGATGGGGTGGGAGTGAGCGTGTTCAAGGGCTGGGGGAGGCAGTTGAATTTAAAGGTACAATCTAAATGGTCCCTTAAAGGCCTTTGTTCAAATGTTGAGCCACACCTCTGTGACCATTATGTACCCCACAAACGTCCAGGCCTCCTCTACTTAAACAGCCCCCTCTCTGCCCCCCCCCCCCCCCCCCCCCCCCCCCACACCTTTAAAGACCTTGTGAGTCGCTCTGGGTAAGAGCGTCTGCTAAACGAATAAATTTACATGTGTTACAAATGTAATGTGAGAGGGTCAGATAGCAGATTCCTCTGGGCCCTAGTGCCCCCCTTCTCCTTCCGTGCCCCCCCGAGAGCACTCTGTTTGTTCCATCCCCGCTTACTGCACCTGCTGAAAATGGTGCTGGGATCCACCTCTGGGGGGCGATAAAGAGAGGCCAGGGGGCTGTATTTCTTCGTGCGGGTTCTGGCAGCCGCACAAAGCGCGATATGCTCTAAACGGTCCACCACGGCCCCCAGGGGCGGCCTTGTCCATGAGCGGATCTTCTTCCTGTGCGCTGAATGCTGCTCCGTGATTCTGCTGCCCTGGGAGTTTAGGGTAGGACTCCCCCCCCCCAGTTCTGTGTGCAGGGCACAGAATGATGTTCCCCTGTCCTCTTCCCTCTCTCAGTCATGTCTGCTACCCCTCTTGGAGTGGGCATCATGCATCACTGCTATGTCCAGCTTTGAATGTGTGCGAGTCTAGACCTGGACAGAACCCTCTGAGGAACCTTAGACCCCCCCCCACAAGTTCTTACTTGCCCCGGCCTGTTTTCCCAGCTTCCACCCTGTTTCCCCCCTACATTTGCAATCAGTCGTTACGCTATAATTCAAACCAACGGCTATAAGTGGCTTCATGGAAATCCAGCGTTAAGAGGATTGTAAAATCTGGAGAACAGAGAAGCTGGAAAACACGTATCCTTCTCCTTGAAAGCCGTAGCAATGTTTTATTTAGCTAGCGAGTGAACATTGCTTTTTTTTTCCCCTTCTAGAGAATTCCATCGTAAACAAAACATGCCCTGGTTAACCACGCTGACGACACGTTGGTGAAAACAAGAATATCCCACTGATAATTTATGCGAAAAGGAAAACAGTGCAGCTGGAATTTAACTGTGCATCGGGTTTCAAAGCAAAACACAATTGACTACACAGGCAAAGGAGCCCGATAGGCCCAGTTAACTCAATCCGGGCGGCAGGTCAAGTGGGTAAGTGATTCTATTGTAAGGGGCACGGAGAAGAAAAGAGAGGAAAGTTAATATGTGGGGCAGCCCTGCATGGGTGGCAGCAATCAGCAGGCAGGCTTTGTTTACCAGCTCATGGCCTCATCTCTGGGGAGCTGGGATATTGAACTTCAGTGAAACACTCTCCCCAGTCCCACCCCAAACCAATCTGTGTGAGCACATCACTGTGGCCGTGCAGGGGCACACAGATGTCACCAGTCTGCCCAGTGTCCTGCCCGGCCCAGGAAAGAACGATGTGCGTGTGTGTGTGTATATATATATACAGACACACTCACTTTTATATATATATATATATATATATATATATATATAATTTATATATATATAATTTATATATACATTACTAGCCCTTCTCCCAGGCTGTGACACTCCCAAACAGACAGAGAGCATACATACAAAACTCCACACACGCACGTGTACAGAAAGCTTCACATTCGCTGAGAATAACACTCCACACAAGACGTTCCCAGCCCCGTCGCACTGCAGATATAGGGAATAAACGTTTTGGAGAGCCGCACGTTTCAAAGGGGTGGGAGAGTAAACACTTGGAGGGGGCCGGCAGGCTTGGCGCACGTGTGAAATGGCGCCTCTGCTGTGGTCAGCGAGGGTTCGGTCCTGGGAACGTGATGATGACAGGATGAGTGGGGAGATGGAGGGCTGGGTTGGGGAGCTGCTCGCAAGACAACCAGCTAGTCAGACGGCTCGGGTTTTCCATTTTCCTGTACACTCATTTTTTTCATTTCTCACCCGCTAACTTTAGTCAGTAGCTATGACGACCGGCCTAGATGGCTAACAAATCCAAACCACCAACACCAGGGTTACAGCCACGACGTCGGCGTCCCGGCGGCGGAAGGAGAAACGTATGAGCGTGGAGGAGCATCTCTTTGCTACGTGCCATTCACGTCACGCTTCCTCCTCTTCTGTGACATTTGGGAGGCCTCAGAGGTGTTGGATTTGTAACCTGCGCTGGTGGGGGTGTCAGGGGCGGGCGTGGGGGTGGCCGAAAGGTTATAGGCATGAATCTCTTCGGATAATGCTGAATGCTTCAAAGGATATTAGCGGCTTGGGTTTATCAATAGCTAAGCTAATAAATAGGGTCAGCTCAGGCCTTGGTGGGAGATCGAGGCCCAAACATTCCAGGCTCCCTGATCTTTAATTGCCCTCCCCATTAATACCAAAGATAATGAATGAGTGCTAAACGGGTCCCCCTCCCCCCCCCAGCCAGGAGTAGTAAAAACACAACAGGTTATCGGCGTCAGGCCGAGTCACTTATCCACGTTATGCAAATTAGATACGGCCGTCTTAGGGGTTAAGCTCGTTACCTGCCGCCTGTGGATTGCTACAAGCGGCCCAGCTGTGGTTCCTGGACCAGGGAGGCGGACCGGAACCGACGCAGAAGCAGTGTGGACTCAGTAACCGTGCGAGCTGCTTGGCCTCCTTCATAGGCCAGGCCGCCGGCTGGCGAGGGCAGACCCACGATCTTTTGCATGGCTCCATCGGCATAAAGAGTGACACCAGTGACAGCCCTGGCGTTTCGATGGAGCTCCGTCTGTCTTGGGGGGTGTAAACCCTGGGGAGCTGCAGCTCTCTATAAAAACCCTGGGCCCCATCCCCACAGAGCTCTGTTCTCACTGCCTACCTTGTCACCACCCTATCTCCATCCTCCCCCCACCCATGAATAGTGCGGGCCTGGAGGAGACAGCCCACCCCCCCCCCCCTCCCAGACACATACGCCCAGGCTCCGCCACGGAGGGGTATCAGACGTGTGAATTGCAGGGCTGGGGTCACAATGGCCTGGCAGCCCTTCAGGGGCCCTCTGGGGGCTGTGTGTGGGGGCCAGTGTCACAGGGACGTCTACCTGGCACCTGGGCCACAGACGGGCTTATCACTCTGGGGAAATGGAGACGCTGCGGCCAAGACTGGGGGGAGGGGGGGTCCATACAGCTCCTTCACTGCATACTCAGCCCACCCTGAGATGCGACTGTCTCCACAGGGACACAAAAGGGACATATGCCAGGGTACCAGAGACCTGCAGAATGGTGGGGTGGGGTCATCCGGGTCGGGGAGGTTGCAGGAGGAGGCGTGGCCTCCACTTTGGGCGGGAGCAAGGCCCGTCAGCTGTTAGCTGTTAGCCTCAGAGCGAGGGCCTCTCCGGCGGGTCAGAGGGATTCTCAGCCCCCCCCCAAAATCCCCGCCAGCACAGTAACGGCTGTGCGGAGATACGAGCCACATTCCAGCTGCGGCCTCGCTCAGGGCCAAACAAGGGTCTCTGCGGGGAGAAGCCAAAGAAGCGAGTCACAGCCCTTCCTTAAGGTCACTCGCCGCGTCGACTCGCCTCTCTGCCGTCAGAAATGTTTACCCCCCTCTCGCTCGCTCACAACTAAGGTTACTGGGAGCATGTTCCTGCCACGGGAACCAGGTGGGGAGGCAGCAGATCACTGCCGAACTCTCTCAAGAGAGAGAGAGAAAGGAAGAAGGAGAAAAACAACTTGTCCAAGCTGGATGCCGTCCAACAGACACGTGTTATTTCAAAATGAGAACCTTGCTAGAAGCAGGCTCATCTGTAAAACTATTTTTAGTCTGAAACTGGGGAACAGCGTTTATAAAGAGCAGAGCAAGTAATGGGGCATTGTGAGGAAACACTTGACATGGAAGAATGGACACTCGAATGTTCTTGTGCTCCTGAGAGTATGTCTGCTCATAAGTTCAGTAGGATACATTGCATATTAATGGTTTCTCTGTAATTAATGATTATATAATTCCACTACAACTCTGATTGGATTAAACAGTTAGAAGGTGGATGGACGGATAGATGGATTGATGGATGGATGGATGGATGGATAAAATTGAATTTTTCCAAATATGGAATCAGTATGTAAGGTAAATATTGCCTACATTTACCAATCTGTTCAGAAACATGCAAGCCATTAATTTTGCATCAGTCATCAAACACTTAAACATGTCATTAAAACATCAAATTTGATTTTCATCACAAACTTTTTGTTCGTTTTGTTACAGATTTTATATTCCAGTTCATTAATGACACTGATAACTGTCACACTTTGCACTTCACTGTTATTAAGCTGAAATTATGCCTATGTGTGCAGACACTGCAAGAGTTTATGGTCCAGTGCAATACTGCAGGGTTATATATCAACAGCATTCCAGTTAGAGTCCCAACTGCTACTGGTACACTTGATTTAACTGGAAACCTATCACTGATATTTTCATATTTCGAAATAACCACCAACATTACGGCCTCATAGGATGAATCTGACAGAGGTTACCTCACACAAAATCTTTACACTCAGTCAGTATGAAAGCATTTAAGTTTCTGTCTACAGGCCATTACATGCTAATGTTTCAAACAAAATTATAAAATAGTAATAGTATACAGGAATATTAATGTTCTCAGAAAACGGTGGGTTTTATTTTATTTTATGAGTTTAAGTCTTCTAAACCTTTTCCCGAAGGACGGTTTTTATTTCTTTTTATGTTTTTAAGTTTTACAAGCATTTTTTGATACAGCATGCCCCCTAGAGGCCATTTACAGAAACTATACATCAATTCCTCGCAAGATCAAACTGAAATAATGTAGATTTACGTCATTAAAAAAAAATGCATAATAGATATTTATATTTCTGTATCTTTTTAACTGATGTGACACCAGAATTGAGAGGTCTGAAGTGGAGTTGTACACCACTTGTACACCAGTGGTTTACAGTTGTTTGTATGGCTATTGACTATCCGCTTCAGTTTATTTCTTGATGTATTTTCATTAATAAATAAATATGCCTGGTGTTGTTTGAATATTGTGGGTTACACCCTGACCGCAAGTCACACTGCAGTGCTGCGCAGTTCGCGAACTCTCACACGACACCTTTTTTAATGACTGTCCCCTCTCGGCCACCGTAGTTACATGACGGAAGATGTTGTTGTCTTGTATTTGTATGCTGATACAGTTCCGACATGGCTGCGGGGTTTTTAGTGATGCTTTACGAATACTGCCCTCCTTTTTATATTAGCATCGTGTCGCTCTGTTTTATCATTACCGTAGCAATGGTTCTAGGCTGGTACGTCCGCTGTTAAAATCGCTCTAATTGAAAATGCGGCGTAAGGGGCTGGTAGCGTATTCTTATTGACACTGTCCTGTGTTGGATTACTTAGTAAAGTGGGTTGGTTAATGTTGATCGAATGATATGACTGTTTATGATCTTATATCATGTATCTTATATCACTATTTTATTGCGTATTTAATCACTTTTTGTAGTGTTCATATTTTAGAGGTTTCAGTTAAAGATAACTTGCCCCCGGATGCAATTGCATAGCACAGTAACTGCACAGAGTTATGACATCTCGGGAAATACGCGTTTGTCGTTCATTCAAAGACAAGACTAATACCAGCATCGGTAGCAGAGCCTGCACTAGCGTTCACTAGTTGTTCAAGTGTCAGTGGGCGAGGAGAAGGGGGGGGCAGGCAAATTATGTTGAAGAACCTGCACTGACAGTTTCTCTTGTTTCTCAAGGTTTGGGTTTGATGTACCGATAATTTTGCGTAGTTCGGACGATGCGGACTCAGTAGCGAACATTCCAGAAAAGCGGATGGTCCAAGTGACTAACCCGTTTGCCCTGGAACTGGGTTCAGCTCCTTCCTCCGTGACAGGTAAAGACACACCGGCTGCCGATCAGGGCTGTTGAGGGAAGATCTTACATGGATTTGCAATTCCGGGCAGTTCCACAATATAGCCCAGCAATCTTCGCAAAATAGTTGGCAAATGATTGCTAAATCTGTATTAGTACCTCAACCAGTATTATTACCTGTAGATTAAGATCGTTAACAGGCAATTGCAGTCCAGACCAGGCACGTCGTGAACAGTTGATGAAGGAAGAAAGGGATTAGGGGGAGTTAAAACTGCTAGATAAAAATCAGTATTTCCTGCTTTGCCTAATAGTCTGAGAAATCCGTTTGAAGCTTCCGCAGTCCCCACAAGGTGATTGTAACGGTGTCCCGCCACAGGGGGCGTGGTTCTGCGGCCTCGCTGTCTGGAGGAGTGCACGCTGAGCTGCTACTGGGGCTGCGGGATTCAGGGTCTCCAGGCCGCCCTCCATGCCCACCGGTGTGGGCCTCCCATTAGCACCCCGCAGCGCTTCCAGGAAGCCCTGCATTTCCAGTACCAGCACGTCCAGACCTTCCAGTATCCTTTCAGCACACACTGGGGAACCATCATTCCGCAGCAGCACTGTCTCTTTAATGTATAAATGCAGGAAATTATTAGTTCTTACCCAAAGTGGCCATTCATTAAGCTGGATAATGAATTTGGATTGATTCAGAATGACTGTCAAGTGAGGCGCAATATCAAGCTTACCCCTCCCCCACACTCGAGTTGAAGCTTGACCAAACCGTCAGCATCGAGACGGAGGACCCAGGGGAGCGTCTGACACAGATGCCTGCTAGTTTGGGCATCTCTCACTTTGGGGTGCTGCCTCGGGCGTGTTACCCCCTGGTGGTGCTGCTCACGCTCGCGGAGCCGGATACACGGGACATATACAACATTGTAAGACACCGTGTCTCCACGAGTGGCGGTAGGGCTCCGTGTCTATGCCGCACGCTCTAGCCTGTGCTCTGCCATTTCAGGTAGCCAGTGTGACTGTGGTCCATGTTCCGGATGAGAAATACCAGCTATCGGAGCGGATCTTATTTCAGTACCTGCTCACGGTGCAGGGGAACATGTACGAGCTGAAGGTACAGCGCTGTCCTCTCGAAACCTAAATGTTTTCTTATCACAGTTTGCAGGGTTTATGGTTCAATGTGCTTTGTGGTTCCAAAAAGAACCCCATTAACAGCCTGTCTTTCGCATTTAGCAGGCATACGGAACCTAAACAAGCTGAATATCTGTAATGTAATCAATTAATTGTGCAATTTTGGGCCAGACTGAGTTCTTTACAGATTTCATACTTGCTTTTCCAAAATATAAGCCCTTAAATTAAGTTACCTAGGACAGTGCTAACTCCGGCACGGTCACAGATGTGTGACCATTAGACGATGCCATGCAGTGGGATCTGAGGCCTACGAACGGCTGCCTGCTTTGACCAGCCCTCGTCACTTTGGGCTCCCTCTGTCCTCAGCCACTCTTCATGTCCACTGGAGATGGCAGTCAGGCCGAAAGCACAGACCCCGCCCCAGACACGGAGCAGGAAAGGCCAAATGAGGCCGGAGGGCCCCAGACCGGGACGACTCAAGAGGACGAGGATGAAGACGAGGGGGCGGCCCCTGGGGCGGGCCGAGACTGCGTGGTGTGCCAGAACGCCCCGGTAAACCGTGTGCTGCTGCCCTGCCGGCACACCTGCCTGTGCGACGGCTGTGTATCGCGCGTCCAGCACTGCCCCATGTGCCGCGCCTTCGTCCTCGAGGCCTTCGCTCTGTGTCGGCGCCCCCTGGAGGACGAGCAAGAGGGGCACCACAGGGGAGAGTAAATTCCCAGCGCGACTTCGGATGTTTGAGGACAGCTTCTTCAGTCCACCAAGATGTGCGCATTGGCGGGGGCAGGGGGGGGGGCATTAACCCCCCCCCCCAATAGATGAGAGGAATGCATAACATGGTCTTTGGGGATGTTATTCCTGTGGAGATGCTATTCCTTCTGCAGTGGGGTGTCCTATGTACTCAGCTAACAGCTAACCTTACCATTACTGCATACTGCTGTAGTTCAGTGACATCAGCATCAGTAGAGTACCTCCCATGCATTCATTCAAGAGACTGCCCCCCTGTGTACAGTCACAAGTTGCCATGGTGCTCATCAAGATAAGACGACTGTGTTAGGTGTTACCGACTCAATCAAATGAATCCCATGCAACTATGCACACTTTGGAGCAATGTTTGAGTGGAAGTTGTATATATTATATTTGTGTTGTTGATTGTGGACTAAATTAAACTGGAAAGTGCTCAGTACTGCTCAGTTGCAGGTGAGCGTTGAGCTTCTTTAGCCGCTGATTTGGAGACCAGGTTTCTGTCATCTGTGTCATCTCACATTGCTTAGCATGACTGTGGTAAATATCTTGTCTTGGTTACACTGCACAACACGGGGAGACGTGTGGGAGGTCCTGTAATTTGAATCCTCACCTATGAGTGTCTGATTGGTACATTCCTTTGGGTGACACCATTGTGGAACAAGCAAGGACACAAAGAAGCCTCAACGTGGAAAAATAGTTTCCCCTCACTGAAATCGCACTTTCATCCATAGCACATCCCCATGATGTTCTTAAGGTTTATTCTTACCCTTTAGCCATGAAACACATAGCATATGACATAAAATTACATATAACATACAGTAACACAGATTACACGCCAATGCTTTGCAACAGAAGTACCCAGATGTGCTTAATGTTTTTATACGATACAGATTTAAACCAGTTGGATTACTTTTACTTGTTCATCAGATGTTTCTGTCCAAAGCAACATGAATTGAGGTGGTTGGTCATTTCAAATACAGTTTCAGTTAAACACTGACTTCTAGTCAGTGTTTCCCAGCCTGGCCCTCGGCATCCCCGAAACACAGACTGTCTGGGGATCTCTGAGGACTGGGTAGGGAAACACTGATCTAGGGTACAACAGCCATTTCCATCTTGGGGCCATCAGCCAGCTGAAAGATGTAGCAGCACACACACACACCGTAGCTGTTCTTTATCACTGTAAACATCATTACCTGTGGCTGCCACCACACATTACTGGGTCAGAAAAACACCAGTGTTTATTTCATAGTTTCACTGCCTGTGTACATTGGCTGATTTCAGTATTAACTTCTGAATCTCAGACCTGCTACGGCCTTACGTTTGCTTGACACTCATATCTGGCCTCTGGTGTAAAATGGATTCTTACCAAAACTCACCCCTAGAGCTTCTGATGTCCCAATATATTTAACATGGCTGTCTACAAACTACCACTGAGTACTACTATTCGATATATTCACTACTTAATGATTGTAAATACTGCTTAAGCACAAAATGTTCTTCATCTCAAGGCCTTGCCACATATTAATAATGTTCCCCATATTCAGACCTGTGTATATGCTAAAAAGGATGCTAACAATGCTAATATACTGTTTGGTTGTCCAGTTCTCAAAGTGTTCACAATAAAACTCATCAGCTTTTTTATAATTCACAGTTAACATAACTACATCCATGACAATGTGGCATTTGCAGTCAGTCATAATGAAATTAAACATCTAGTTAGCATCCACAGCTAGTTGTAAAGGTAAGGGACTGCTTCTGGACTAATTTAGATGTGAGTGACCCCTGCTGGCGATTTGTTGCAGGACATCTGCAGATGGGTAATAGGCAGGCCTTATAATTTATACCTCAAATGGAAACAATACCTCTGATTGGCACACTGAAAAATTATTTCACTGGGATTTCTGTGCTTGGTAGGTTCAGCTCACGATGAATTTAAAACCAGACTGGACACACACTAAGCACATCTAGACACATGTAGATAGGCCATGTTCTGCATGTCTTGGAGGTAGTTCAGTGGAACTCATACAGGTGCACTGACACACACACAGACGGCACGTGGATTTTACACACGGGTTGGCATGATGAGCTGGCGAGGCGTGGCGTTACGGCACGTGCTTCTAAGACCTACGGATGAGCTTCAGGAACTCGTCCCGCGTCTTGGGGTCGTCACGGAAAACTCCCAGCATGGTGCTGGTGACCGTCTTGGAGTTTGTCTTCTGCACGCCCCTCATCACCATGCACATGTGACTGTAAGGGAGGGAAACGGCTGGAGTTTGGAGGAAACCCCCAGACAAGTGCGAGCAGTGACGACTTCCCAAGCGACGGGGGACACAGCACTGCGTCATTCATACAAGAGTGTCACACGGATGCATAAAGACTCACGTGGCCTCGACGACGACCCCGACACCAGCCGGCTGCAGGGCGTCCGTGATGGCGGTGGCGATCTGCTTGGTGAGACGCTCCTGGACTGGGACACAGACACACACACACGGAAAGCGTCACAATAAGGCTCACAGAGAGCCCTGATTAAAGATGCAGGCGCTTCCCAGGACGGCCAGTTCCGCACTCACACTCCCACATAGTCTCTATGGACACCAAATGCCATGTGTTCATCGTAACTTCACTAAATTTAAATTCACTTGAATAGGGACATTTTAACAGGCATTTGTTACATTAACACTAACTTCTCAATGAGTGTAAAAGACAAGTTACAAAACTACATGATAAAAAAAATTACCTTGTAATCGCCTGCTGTACATTTCAACAACCCTGGAAGGACAGAAAAAATATACTGAATATAAATTCATGAAATAAAAACCCTGAGACCAGTAACAACATGACTGCAACTTCAATGCAGGATTAAACCCATGTGAATTGGGGAAACGACAGACATCTGTAATCAGATTATCTTACAAAGACGCGCAGGCTGCAGTTAATCTAAGACGGCCGCATCACGGCACAGGCGTGACCCCGAGGAGGTTCTCTGAAGGCTTCTACAGGAAGCTCTGGCACATCTGAGGTGTTTTTCAACATTTGCATCCCCATTTTCACCTCATCTGGGATGACCAATTCATCCCATTTAGTCCCCAGGGGGCGCTGTTTGCCATGACTTGTGAGTCACTGAGGGAGCCCCCACCCTGATGACAATAATTTGAGAATAAGGGCAAATTAAAAACGCCAATAAACAGGTGCTTCACACTAACATTTCCTTCCTTACAGGAGTCCCAAATGGGGTATCTATATCCACAGAGCAGGTCAGCTTCGGATAAATATGCTCAAGGCTGCCCATATGGGGGGAGGAGGGGGGAGACTTTCTGAAGCCAAGGCATGTTTTTTGTGCAGCACTGACTATGCTACTTAATAGGCAAGAACAACATTAGTAAGAACTGATCTTTAAAGCTGCTTTTAATCTCAGCAGCGTGTCATGCGTGGAGGCCATCTTGTGGTTCTCATGCCTATTGACGGTGTCTAGGTTCAGTGCAGCGTGAGTGGCGTCCCTCTGCGAGCCTTAATGGGAGGCCCGCACTGGCTCTGCAGATGAGCCAGCTCCATCTTGGTGTGTTCCTGAGCTCCCTATTGGTGTGGAGGCGAGATGACGCGTTCACATCCCACCAATCGGGGAGAGTGGAAGCAGCTTATGACCACTGTCTGCGTTTCTTGGCTTTCTGCTTGAGTGCGAGTGAGCCAGACAAAGAGGTCAGGCAGGATGAGTGCCCCACTCACATCACGCTTAATCTGCTTACAGCCAGTGAACTGCCCCTTAGGAGGACACAGCCCTTCAGGAAGGAGGGCGACTGTTGACATCACCCACAATGCAAACATGCACGGCACCGAGATACTTGTTCCTTAGACTAGTATCCAGAAACATGATGTGTCCAAATGGAACTTGGTTCATTCAAATTACATCAAAAGCTTTACATCTTTAGAATTTTACACCTTTCTTAAATCAGCCATTAGTCAATTTATAACATGTTAATTTTCATTCAGAAAAAAATAAGTGAATGATCTGGTGTGTGTATTTCTGTTGGTGTTTGGTAGTTTCAAATAATTCCCATGTAGAACATTTTTTAGAATACATAGCTTCAATAAAATCCAAACCCTACTGCATATATCAAACTTGCCAAGTTCATTTCAAGCATGCAGAAACATGAGAAAGGAGAAAACACGCCTCTGTCCATAATTTGTCTGTGGCCTACATTCCTGGAGATCAGTCTGATCGTCAGAGGTGGATATTTCAGGTACAGAAAGTACAAATCCATACCAAGATTTTGTTTCAACCAACCAGTTGCGTACTCTGTGACTCTTTATACTCAACTGGTTGGTTGAAATGAAGTCTTGGTCTGGATTTGTACTTTCTGGACCTGAACTATCCACCTCTGACGATGGATTACATTGCAAAGCAAATCATATGAGACTGAACTGGCACAACAGTAAATATGCAAAATATTATAAATAATGTGTGTATTGAGTAGAAATCCACTTTCACTGTGCATTTTTCCAGATTTTCAAAAATACTTCTGCAGGAAGAATGTCAATAAATAGGTAATTTACACCGTACATAACATTCCTATGATTCTTGTTCTTGCACTTTTTATTAAAACTGCTCCATATGTCATACGAATGCTATTTGATACTGCTGTCAGCCACAGAGTAATGTCAGGTGGCGCCCTGGAATACTTCAGGGGAAAGCTCTCACCAAAATGAAAAGGCGATGACTGCTGCCAGCTGCTGCACTCACCTGACCAGTTTACTGAGTCCCAGTACCTTCTTGCAGGGAAGGTAGCCAACATGAACCTACAAGAGATGGACACCGCAAAGTGTGCTGGCAGTTCCAAGGCATGGGTGATTTTCATTGAGTTACCAGCATGGTTGTGAAAAATCTGCCCTAATAACACATCAGAACTCAATGAAATGACAGTATCAAGTCTTTGGTTAGGACATACAAGCCATTACCGTACACCTAGAGTGCAAAAAGGGTGGAACAATTAGTCATTATGTTATAGATCCATGTGTTGTATACATACAGCACAATCCATACTGGTGTCACATTACCGGGTTGCCTCGTGGGCATCAGAACAGGCAACCTTCATCATGTAAACTTTAAGGTCAGCTTGGAAGGAATTACATCACTCTTTGCTTACGGTTTGCAGGCAGAATAGGTATTGTGATGGTGCTGGGTGGAGCTACAGGATCTCCCAGTTCATCGTGATGACGGGCCACGGTTTGGTCTGAGTCAGAGCATCATGATCACGTGGAAGCTGTTTAGTGATCGTTTTACAGGGATCATTGAGTTTCATGCTCATGGGCCACATCTACTAAGAGACTATTACACATCCAGATTCTCACAAGGGATCAAGCACATTTCATGATCCGGAAAAAATAAGGAGCTCATGAATCATGGGCTTATCAGACTATGAGACACTGCTGTTTGTATAAGCATTTGCAATATTTAAACATCTAAAAGTGAAGTGTTATGTTAAAAGATGTTATGTGTATGAATAAAGTTGAAGGTTCACGTTTCATGATTGTATGGAGGCTCTCACCTATGAAAGTTTCCCTCCAAGAAGATTTTTCTTTTACTGTTGATAATAGAATCCCAGAGCTTTCCTGAGTAGACACATCTCAGAGAGATATACCTCTTAGCACATCTCAGATCAGACTTGGGCTACCACAGCATTTCATCTAGACCAGGGCTCTTCAAATCTGGACCACTATTGCAAATCCAGGCCTTGTTTACAGTTCTACCAATTACTGATTCTGATTGGCCACAGGGGCTTCACACCTGGCTCACAGGTAAAGGAAGGCTGGGAAATCAGCAGTGCTCAGACCTAGAGGACCATCAGTTGCATAGCCCTAATCTCAACAATGAACAACCCATGATGTCACCACTAAGTCACCAGCTACAGCTCCTTTATATATGTCTTTGTGATTCAGTTAGTTCATGTGAGGACCTCAAAAACCAAAATATTTGGTGAATTCTTCCCAGGTCATAAGCAGGAAGACAGTGGTCCTACCGTTCCAGTGAAGGGCACCAAGTGATGCTCACACATGGAAAACATATCGATGTCCTTAACTATCACCATGTCGTCGTGGCCTTCGTCGAAAATAGCATCATTCAGCACATCTGAAAGATAAAGAAAGCAACATGCTCTATATGCCTCTATATCATATATATATATATATATATATATATATATATATATATATATATATATATATATATATATATAAATCTGGTGAATTTGCAGCACTATTCCGATATGTGTGGTTCTGCTATTAGTGCCCATTATCAGAAGGTTGTTGGTTTAAACCCCTTGCTTGGCAGAGTAATTTTTCTATTGGGCTCTTAAGCAAGACCCTTAACCCCAGTTGCTCCAAGGAGTGGCTGACCCTGATTTCTCTATTGTATGTTGCTTTGGATGGATAAATAAATAGAGTATTCTCCTCTTCATGTCTGATATCAGACTGCCTGTGCCATCCTTGACCTTCCCCCCCCCCAACTCCACACTCTCAACAGGATCATATCATTATTCAAATGAAATCCAGCTTCCTCTGTTTACAGACAGAACAGAATCTTCTGGTTCAGGATTTTTAATTTCCTGACTGGCTACCTCATAAAGGGCAATGTTTCCATGGAGACGAGGTAAGCAGACTCTGACGTGTGACTCTGAGGTCCCGTGGTGTGCTCTTCCTAGCATCGTACGCTGTAGCATGAACTTTATGTTGCACTTAACCAGGTATGACAAGAGCCACCAGCACTTGGGTCTAGACACAGCAGTGTGCACGTGTGTACATTTAGAAACACGCCTTCTGTTCTCGCCATACTGTGATCACACCCAAGGCATGGCAAGGGCAGAGTCCATGGACTCATGTTCTACACTAGTGGCCAAAATTGTGGAAACACCTAACATTTTTAGCATTAAGCTATAAAAATTACCATTACATTGGACAATTAAATAAGTAACTGGAGCATCCGATGAATAAGGTTCTGTAATCTCTTAAAATTGTTTCCACAATTTTAGCTACTAGTGTAGTCACTGCTTCATGTTTTCTCTCGTTTTAAAAAAATAAATAAATAAATAACACACACTAATTGATTCTCTTTATGTCAATCCTCCCCACCCCCAACAAAAAAAAAATTTGTTACAGATGTAGTGGGAGTCAGACTGGTCCAGCCAATCACGTCACAGCATGCAACTGATTGGTGCGTTTGTTCGTGAATGGTACCAAACGACTAACCATTACTTGACTAAACTGGTTAACGTAAGCCTTCCATGCCAACCTATACTTTTTCCAGAGATTCTTGAGGAAGACATGCTGCTCCTTTAAAAAATATTTTAAACTGGACATTCACTAGGGGCAGAATGAATTAAACCAAGTTATGATATACCTGTTGGAGTGAGCACCGAGGATAGCTAATTAAACAAACGTAATGCTCAGGCGATACCAATCCTCTTCCTGCATAATATGTTTGTGTCATCGGAAAACTTAAAACATCCAAGTTCAATTCAAACATCATGTGCATTTGTAAGTAACTTGACAGCTTACTTAATTCTTTTTTTCAAAGTGACGCCGAAGTAGCAAGTATCCCCCTTTATAACTCACCTTGGATGTTCTCCTGATAGCCTTTGGTAAAATACTGCATGGCCTTGGCCGCTCTTGAAGGCGTTTGGAGGAGTCCGGGTCTCTCGGGATTTTCTCCCAGACCCCTGAGAATAGTGGAGTAGGCTGAAATAAGACTGGGCAAGCTGATCTCGTTATCTTCCACACTTCGGGTGCGCATTTCATTCCAAGTAACACTGCTGCAGCCCTTCTGAGGGTTTGGTACCAAGACTACTTGCTTACTGTTAGTCTCCTTTAGGGAATTGGATATTGGCCCCGTCTCCGCCAAATGTCCGGACTTGTCGTTAAAACTAACCCCTTGCCTCGTGCTTGAACCATCCATTATTCCAGGTTATAGTCTGACTTTTTTCCACTGTTTATAAGAGATAACGGTGTACTGTCATCAATCTAATCCTTTGCGTTTTCTTGTTCTGTATCTATATGTCTCCCTGGTGAGCGCGCGCCACTGCTAGTTGGCAGTTCTCTCTATTCCATATACCTGAAGATCAAGAAAATTATTTTGCTTCCTCCGCCCCCCAGTATACTCTGTATTTGCTATTGGATGCCCCGCTGAATTGCGTCACATAAATCAGCGGCGAGCACCGTAAACCGATGGGGGCTGAGCCTGTGGATGACAGCTAGTACATTTGAGTCCGAGTATTTTTCAGAATGTATAACCTGCCGTGGGCACGCTGTGTTCAACCGATTGGTTTTTAAGTGACACATAGCAGTACCAACAACGCAGCATGACACTAATACGCCTATCTGTAATAACACCGTGATCGAAAGTACAGTTAATTTATATGATGCTTGTTTTTTGTTTTTTTTCACATAGACCTTTGTGATGATTGTTGAACGTTGTGTAATGTGCTGCTCTATACGGAAAACACAATGCAATATAAGTATTTTTGACCGCAGAAGTTTATTATTATTATTATTATTATTATTATTATTACCACTGAACAATGTTAGGGCAATGTTTGGAATTAACTATACATGCGCTATCCAGCGTTACAACATTCCAGGGTATTGTTCTAATTATAGCTTATTTATATCGTACTTGATTATATATGTGTTGCGTCGACGGGATGGCTTACTGGCATTGCTCAGCACGCTCCGGGTGTTGTAAATAGCCTTTGCCTGTTGTTGTTGTTGTTGTAAACAGCTGTGCTGTGTCCCTGATCGTTGCCTGTGCCGTTGCCTTAGTCGTGTGTGAGTCCTGACCGATCCTCGTGTGTCTGTAACCGCTTTGTAAATTCTTCCCGTGTGTAGAACCCACCCTGATCAACATGTCTCGGTGACGGTGGGGTGTACGTTGACATTTAGTTTTGCTTCTGGGTTGGACGACAGTTCGTTTAAAAGCTAACAATAAAAACTCCGGCCTTATGAATATGTCAATATCTTTTGTCCGGCGTTTGGAACTTGGAGCTGCTGATATCACAATGTATCAGTTCCTATGGAAGTGTATTGAAGGCTGAAAGGGTGGTTCACATCCAAGCCACGGAAAAATACAGTGAATAAAGGTATTCGCGCTGAACAAGTGGATGATTCAGCCGTAGTTATGCGTCACTGCTGCAATTTCATGTACCAAGTGCAGCAGGAAAGATCTCTTTTAAGACCGAATTATCTCTTTTGTCTTTATTGTTTCTTTTTCTTTCGTAAGAATATAAAATAAGCACAAAAATAAATAAAATACCACCGGAACAACGGAACTTTAACCACCCATCACCCATGGTCTCTATTGTAGACTTTAATCCCTACCTCTCAGGAGACCCCAGCCCCTACGTCATCAGTGACATCAATCCCAACCTCACTGGGGACTCCAGCCCCTTCGAGGGGAACAACCCCCAATATTCTCGATTAATAAAAGGATAAATTAATTATATAATATGTGCATAAAATAAAATAACTGATTATCATGGAGTATTATACGCAGTTTCTAAAAGATGAATTTTCAGCCTAGTTCTGAAAGTATTAAGTCATCCAATAGCTCTCATGTTTTCTGGGAGAGAGGTCCACAGTTTGGGACCATAGTGACTAAGGGTCTGACCTGAGCATGTCTGAACCCCAAAGTATAGTTCAAAGTATAGTTCAGAGTATAGTTTGACTAGCGTGATCTCTAACCCTGTCCGAGGACGGAACCTGGACCTGGAAGAAACGGATAGCGTAGGCTGTACAGATCAGGTAGCGACATTTAACAAGCATGGCAAAAAAGGACCACTTTGGTCTAAGGCAGAGGTGCAGTGTTTGCTGAAAATTTGAGCTGACAAGAATATCCAGGAACAACTGGATGCAATACACATAAATTTAGAGATTTTTGGTAAAATACAGGCCTGTCTTCTTATACATACAAGACGATTAAATGAAAATCGTGGTGTTACATACTCGATAAATTTATGGGGGGGCATGTGTCATCACACCTAAAACGAGTCCAAATAAGCCACAAAATAACATTAATCACGAATTCCATTCTGCCGTCCCACAGCGCTTCCCTTCCTATATTTTCTTCGAGACAAAAAGTCAAGCGGTGATGACAAAAGCATGCTTGGACCAGGATCGTTAAATGCAGCATGGGGGCAGACCAGTGGGAAAATGGGGAGGGGTCACGGACTGTGAGTATGCCCTAAAAGCTGCCTCCTCCCTCCTCAGCCAGCTTTAAGGAATGATCAGTAAATTACTATGGGATGGTCTGAGTGATCTGCCTGTGACATGCTTTACAATCATATCACTGAGATAGGATGGAGCAAGACCATATATACATTTAAGAATGAACAAAATAAGGCCTTCGGAAGCCAGTGTAGGGATTTAAGAGTAGATGTGATGTGGTCCCTGTGATTGATGCCTTTTAACATTCTGGTAGTGGCATTATTGATCCATTGTAGATTTGAAATTAATTTCTTAGGTAGACCAGACAAGAGAGCATTCCAGTAATCTATTCTACTTGAAACAAAAGCATGAGTCCGTTTTTTTTACGGTCAACATATGACAGCACACCCTGGGCTTTGGTGATATGGCTGTTGAAGCTAAGTTCACCGTCAAACTGGACTCCCAGGTTTCTAACTTGTTGTTTGGCCTTGAGAGACATTGATTCTAAGTACAGCAGTATATGCTTCCTCTGTACTTTAGTCCCAATAACAGGCATCTCTGTTTTCTCCTTGTTCAGTTGCAGAAAAGTTTGTGACATCTGTGAGTTTATGTCATCTGTGCAGGGGATAGACCCATGTGCATTAGGAGCTAGAGATAGATATAGTTCAGTGTCATCTGCATACTGACGAAAGCCAATTTTATGTATATTTATTACACTTAATGGTGGTAGCATGTAAAGGTTAAATAATATAGGGCCTAAAATTGAGCCTTGGGGGATGCCACATATGATAGCGTGAAGCTTTGAGACACAGGTATCAAGTGCAACACAGCATTCATGCTCAAGGGGGCACCAGAGAGACCTGCCCAGGTGTATAGCTGGTTCAAACAATCTCATGGTCTGCTGTGTCAAAGGCAGCACTGAGATCTAGACGAAGGATGGAGAGGTTTCTCTATTATTTTACCAAGAAAAGGTAAGATAGATATTGGCCTATAATTACTGACCACAGTACCATCACAATTACATTTCTTCTACAAAGGCCTAACAATGGCAGTCTTAAGACTGTGGAAAGATTAACAATATTCATATCATTGGCCGACAACAAGCTTAGAACTTGTTTAAAATCAAGAGAGGGGATTAAGAGGATGGCTCAATGAGTTTAGAGGTAGTTTAATGTTGATTAATGAATTAAGGTCGATGGTAGAAAACACAGAGATTACTTTGAACAATGCAGCATGGAGAAATAACATCCAGATATTGGGAACGAGCTCTCCCTGTGTTTTCAGTAATAGCCCCAATTTTTTAGTTGTAAGAAGTTCAGATGGGATACGGAGGAGGGGGGCAGGAGTTATCAATCTAGCAATAGTAGAAAAATGAAATTTGGGGTTGACTTGGTTTTTTTTGTATCAGATTTGAAAACTAGACCTTTCTGGTATGCTTCAGTTCACTCTTTGTCTTATACATTATTTTTGCCCTTTATTTTCTTTCTACATGTGTGTCTTTTGAGTTTTAAAATTGAACTTGGTTCCTCCATATGGGTCTCATTCTGTCTGATACAGTCTTAGTGTTCAGTGGGGTGATGATATTTATATTCTGTCTTTCTCTCTACAGATGCATTACAAGGGAGGGAGAGTTCAAGTGCAGGGAGTGAGCATAAGGTTGTTAAAAGCGTCATCGGAATCAGCCGTGAGATAGCGTTTATTGGCCTTCAGCTTACTGTCCCAGTTCAAGGTGTACACTGGCATCTCAAAGAAGAGACAATAATGGTCAGAATCCAAAACATCTGCTATTCGAGCAGCATTACTATTAAGCCAGGTCTCAGTATGGAAAATACCCCCACCAATGTGCCTGGAAGTGTTCTAGAAAGTTCTGTGTGTGTGTGTGTGTGTGTGTGTATATATATATATATATATATATATATATATAGAGAGAGAGAGAGAGAGGGAGATGAACACAGGTATGTTTTAATGAGCTTAATGATTATATAGTATAGGGGTGGACAATATGGAAAAAATATATCACAATTATTTTCAGACAGTATTACAATCCATGGTGTTATGATTGTTTTCATGATGGTTTTTAAGACTGTTTTGCAAGTTGCTGAACAGTACGGTGTCGATTTTGGTAAATCCAAACAATTTGCAAGTTACCGATGTCTAATTTTTTCAGGGATCCACTCCTCCATGTCATCCATGCCGCCAAGTTGTCATTTAGGGAATGTGCTGCATGGTGTGCGTTGGATGTTGGGCGAGAAAGAGAGAGAGGAAGTAATCCATGGCATTACTTACTGTTTGCCATTCCCGGTTTATTTGAGTATTGAAATTGATTTGGCTGACGAAACAACTTTAGATGCGTGAATAAGTGGAACTCCAGCTGAAAGAATGGGCACCGTAGCATGATACTAAGGATCAGGTCATGGAGAGGTTTTAATCATTTAATATTATGAAATTGCACATTCTTATTATGACCATTAGGCTCTTTTGGTTTGCAATCAGCTGGCTGGCCGACTATGAAAGATTTGTTGAGTGAGTAGACATTCAGTACCACAGCTTTAAGAACCTGGAGTTTTAATTTCTCTTCATTAAGGTGGACACACATCACGCTAATTAAATTATACTTCTCTGAACCTTTCTACTGACGTTTTCTAATGCAACCATGCCACCATTTGTTACAAATACCAGGGATATGTTGGCTAGTGGCATGGATACTTACACATCAATTACCAATAGTTGTTCTCACTGTTGTGCATGATAAAGATGGGTGTAAATGTCGTTCATATGGCACCGATCCTCATTCATTCCCCCAAGCACGCTTCTGAATATGTCAAACCTCCTTAGAAGGTGACTGTGGCTTTTCAGGAGTGACGCTGTCTCTGATAAGATTCCTGGGTGAGTGAGAGATGTTGTACTGCAGACTTGATATAAGCATTTTTGCCATAGAAAAGTTGAGGTACAACCCATCACCTTTAAACAAATATGTGTGTCGCCAGAACAGATTACAGATGTAGATTAAACGTACTTTTTGTGAGTCCCGCACGCAGACGTGAGCCAGGTATGTGGTCTCGGCGGCCTGCTAAAACAACTGATCCTTCGAATGACTATGAGCAACGGGCTTGATACATGTATTTGTAGTGTGAGAGATGTAAGGAGCTCCAGTAGGTGGACAAAATTCCTTTTCAGAGTCTCAGACTGCTCTTTAGGGATGTCATTTCTGCCCACATGCACAATCTGGCCAACAATCCGGTGGATATGTAGGAACGCTGGGATTTTCTTTGTTATGCCGATGACTGAGGCAACAGGGTAGCAGAATTTTTTACGTAGATTTGTTACACACATCCCTGATTATTGATGAGTAGGGTCCTGGGTGTGTTTGCATCCATGGGGGGGGGGGGCGGGGGGATTTTCTGGCTTGCTTGCAGAGCGGCCAGGCTGTGTGGTGCTGTAGGTTGCACAGTGCTGGTGATGCTGGGGGCTGTCAGGACCCCGATGGTGCTGGTGATGCTGTGGCTACAGACTGGCTGGTGTGGGGGGCTGCGAAGACTGAGCGCAGTGAGCCTGGAAGGGTGGTTGGGGCTTGGGTATGCGGAAGCATTCCTCAATGAGGGACTCCGGCTCAGACTGAGACAGCACCTGGTACCAGTTACCAAGCTTGAGTGGTGGCTGTGAATCAGGGTCACTCCAAGGCTGCGTGTTGCTTTAACCTCAATGGATGACCGTCCAACACTCTGTCACTTCAGAAGTAGATGCTGAGATCAGCTCAGCGCCCATGTGATGTGATCACGGCAGTCATGTGATGCCAGGTCACTGTTGGCATGCCAACGTGGACAGAAAGCCTATAGGCATCTAGGTCGAGAAACACTGCATTCATTACTGTCCAGTGTAGTCGATCATGGCCTGTTTGGCCTATGCTTTCCTCCTATTGACTGCATTGAAAGACTACAGGTGTTTTTATTAATTAAAATCAGAGGAGATGACAAGTTTAAGGTTACTAATCACAGATTAACCTGGTATATGGTGTGGAAGCAAACAAATCAAGTCTGTCAACGTACGTATGCATATTAAAATTAATCCTGATATTTTCATTACCAAAGTAAAATTTCAAAACACTGTATGTAATTAAAACTTGTGTGGGGAAGTACAGCTCAGTGATTACCAGCATAAATTACATTGCAGCATAATAATGATATGCATAATAATAATAATGACAACGACAAAGAATACTACTGATATTAATAGCAAAAAGAATTCATTTTATTTTTCAAATTGCATTTTTAACTAACTGCTTTGCACCTATATTCTATTTACAACGTCTGCTATAAACTGACCCATTTCTTCCACAGGGTTCGTCTATTTACAAGGGGGGGGGGGGGGGGGGGGGGGACAGCTCTCACATGGGGATGACAGCGAGTGAGCACACTGCACGGGGATTAGCGGAATTCGCTTCTCTCCAAATTAAAGCTTTTTTTTTTTTAAAAAACGCATTGTGTCTGCTGACGGACCTACTGAAAACGGAAGCTTAGAAGACGCCGATTCCCTTGGGTCACAGGACTGACCCTGTGCATACAAGTCAGGCCATGTGACTCTTGCATGTATTTTAGGAACAGCTGTCAAAATTTACAACTGTAATTACTATCCAGAGAAAGAGCCACAGACACTTCATGGCTCCTGGGCACCCAATATCCTGCACTGCTGGGGGCAACATTTCCTTGGGATGGGGGTGGTGCATATCCACATGCTCTCTGTGCTAAAGGTTTGCGATGCATTACATTGCCCTTCAATGCCTACTCTTAATTAACCAATTCCATTCGACCTTCAGTATATGGACAAATTGTGGTCATATGCACACAGAAGCCTAGAACTCACAAAATGTAAGTTTTGGTTTAGCTGCCCTGATAAAATTGTATGATACGCTCTTGTAGCTTCCATAAATCTACAGAATGCTCCTTATCGCCTCTCAATGGACATGCGGTTTCACTGCAGGCGGTTCTACTGAAGCTTTCTTACTTGTACCAGTTGAACAGATGAACAAAGGCAGAAAATCCATTTGCAGCTCAGAAACCCGACCTTCATTGCGCAGCCTGGCTCACAGCATCTAACTGCTGGAAGGTCCTTCCTGCCTCAGGAGTTAACAGACAGTACAGGTACAAATAATCTTAGCCGAGCCCATTTTCACATCCAATCCTTCAGATCATATTCTCCATCCTTAATAGTGTCTACCACAATGGTGGGACCAGGAAAAAAAATAAAGTTTGAAAAGTGCATTGCTTAAATACCGTGCTGCTGAAAACACAGAATGCTTTAAAACATTCTAATATCTGCAGAATTATATATATATATATATTCTCTTCAGGGTTTAAATATGAAAGACGAAAAAGGTCTGTAGCACCAGGAGCCAAGAGTACGGTCATCCCTTAAAATGATAAACCCAAGCAGTGTGCACCTAATCTCCAAAGAGATGCTTCCTTTTTCAATTTTTATAAAATGTAAAAAAAGGAAAGAAAAAAAAACCCTTAACAACAAAGCGCTGTGTGTCTCCGGGCCGGGCCGGGCCGGGCCTATCTGTTCTGTGCAGCAGTGACTGAAAGGTTCCCACAGTCCTCATCCTCTTCCAGAGTACGCTTCAGACTGCCTAGAAGGGAGACAGCAGCCAGGGAAATCACTCTAAGCTTATGGTCGAAGTCCACATAAGAAGTTATACTCAGATTATTGCTGACTGTCTATCATCAAATACAGGTATACTATTCCCAAACAACAGTAACACTTCGAACAGAGATTCTTTCTCTGTTTCTGACGTACAATGAAGGTCTGCATTCTTAATTTAGGATCTCTGCATAGTTTTAATATTTATAATCACACAAACAATCCCATCCTTGTGTTCCCCCTTGTCTGAAGGCAACCGGGATATATATTATTCTACGATTAAATATTCTAAATATTGCACTGAGCCGATATCACAGATCGCAATTGGAGCCAATTGAGGCATTTTTTAAGCTGGTCGGTATCAGCTACCACAGCCTGATCTATTTCATTTCCCACATCTGCCCAATTTACGTCAGATGCAGACTGTAACGTTACGTCACACGCTGCAGTAAAGCCTGAGGCACACGACTTGAAAGTACAAAGAGATGTCAGCCGTGTGGAAATTCTCAAAGTAGCCCAGTAGCTACCTGCAACATTTACAACACCATCCTTCCGAGAACAGATAGCGACAGAGCGTCATTTACAGCAACAAATTTAATTAGGCACTTGCAGAAAAATCATATGGAAGAATACTGGGAAATGTTGAGGCTCACACAGATGGAAAATGCACTGATGCCTACTGTATGTGAAGCCTATGTATACTTAGCATTTATTATATTATTATAATTATATTTATTTATCCAATCAGGACTCAGAATAGGCAGATGTAAATATTGAATGGATCTCCTCACTGTTTCTGTGCGTTCCACTCCACTTACGCAAATCACCCTCATTGGTTGAAATGGTTTCTGTGTCACTGACCTGGCATCCCAGCCTGCATGGAGAACGACCTGCCAAGCTGGACCGGTGACATCATTTGAATAGTGAGCTTGGCTAAGTATATCGCCTCGTACTCCTGTAAGACCAGGAGAAAATTTTCTTTGGGTGAAAATCAAAGCAGATTAATATGACCAAGCTGAGTACAAACAGAGGCAGAAACCTCAAAAACTCCCCAAAAGGGTTACAGAGACATTTACCTGTAACTGATGTACAAAGCCCACATTGGGATTAATGCAAAATCTTCTCTCTTGTACATGGCTGAAAGCATCTCTGTACACCAAAAACACAGTGTCAGAAATCTTTAATAAAAAATTCAAGTATACTTAAATATTCTATAAATCAAGCACATACTCTACACTGTCAAAAATAATTTTAAAAACAAAGCAGAAGGATTAACGATTTAACCTGTATTTAATCTTACCTGTATTTGACACCAAACGTCTCCATAAGGTAAGCAATCACTAAGGCAGCACTACAACAATAGACAAGAATGTTACAAGAACGGTCGACGAGAGGCAAAGATCTTGCAATGGGAATACAAGAGGGAATCGTCCACAATTAGGTACAGCTGGTGAAAACGCAAAGCCGACCCACCTTCTAGATATCCCTGCGTTTCCATGAACAAGGACCTTCCCTGCAGACAAGGTTTGGGCAATAAAAAGAGCAAAAAAAAAAAAAAGGAAAGAAATCAGCAAAAATACATAAGAGATTGCAATGCATGACAATTTAGAGCGCAGGAAAATAAACATTACTACAGAGTTAAACTAAAAGTGAAATAAATAACATATAGTAGCATAACTTTAATGTCCTGTACCTCCGGTACTTAAACTCTCATCGATGAACTCTTTTGTCTGAGGAACAAAATTAAGACAAAATAAGGAGCCATACACAAGTTCTGGAAACTTTCAAGGCTGTTTAAAGGTACTGGACTCATGTAATGTGCATGGTCACTCACCATGGGGAAAAACCTAATTATATTCTCCACAGGGTTGTCAGCAATATCCAGAACAAGGTATCTGTATGTTAGAGAAATATTACTGTTTTAATGTTTTAACTCATGCAACTACAGAAAAAAATGCAGTCAATATAAAGCAAGGTATGATTGCTTTTCAGTTAGCCCAAGTATAGCAGTATGCAGAGAAGCCTCTCACCTAAACTCCTGTGGGAAGTTGGGCTTGATGAAATTAGCTTCAATATCCTGTCTGATGCAAACTATATGAGTTATCCCTCTTTTTTCCAGAGTAGAAAGCTGGAGAATAATTAGATTGTATAATTAGCTACATTTTTTTCCATAAAATAGCAGGGAATAATGACATACTCAACACGGTGAGGTAACCTGGGTAACAAAAGCTCACCAAAATTCAACGAGAAATAAACAAACCAAGCAGGGAGCTGTCTGACCTTTAATCATTAGCAACGTTCTTAGCCTTCCTAAACACCATCATTACCTTGCTCTTCATTGCTGCCGAATAAGGACCCAGAAAAAGACCAGGAAGGATTTCCTGAAACAATGAAGTTCTAGATGTGGTAAACATGGATTGAGATAAAGTTGCTGTTGATGATCGACACCTATGTCCAGTGGAAACCGGCGCTTATCCATCCCTGTGCAGTGTGATCTCTCTATGATACGACACTGATTAAATTGAATGCTTTTTAACAGTATGTATTCAGGCAAATTAAAAAAAAAATGGTATGATTATGGTAACTGTGTAACATCATTGCAGTAAACTGCTAAAAGACAGGAGTGAAAATGTTTCTCCTACTAAAATGACCGAGTATTCTGCTGTTTTGTCATAGTGCAAGGTAATCAGTGTGAAATCTACTATAATCAAATTTTTTATATTCAAACAATTGTTTGATTTTTTAACAGGTACATTCAGGAAAAAAAGGGTAAAAATGTGTATCTCTACTTGTCACTCGGGCAGTACCCTTGTAATTGTATCTTGGACTCTGAGGAACATCCCAAAAGCACAAACAGCATTAATGTACCATAAATGTTCTTCAGAGTCCATTTCTGTACCTTAAAAGTTACAATTACCTACAGCTAAGGGTACAATTGGCAGACCCTTGAGGGTACAACCCCAGTGACAAACAAAAGTACAAATTTTTACCCTTTCTTCTGAGAGTGTATGTCCTGATGTTAATAACCCGGTGTGCCGATCAACCTTACTATTGAAAAAAATATGGAAAGTTAAAAAAAAAAATGTAAAACGCTCGCATAGAATCATAACTACAACCCAACTATTTATATTTGTCGAATACTAAGTACACATAATTCTCGTGTTTAAATCGGCAACATTACTTACTTTACAGCTTTTTCATTTTTTATCATTTTTATTTAAAAAAAAAAAAAAAAAAAAAGGTTGATTACAATCCACAAACGTGAAGTTTTACGATAAATTACTTTTTTCAGTAAGTACTTATGCCCTGCAGTGGGACACTAGGTATGATAAACCACGATTTCAGATACCTGCATCTCTCGCCTCATCGGATATGCCCAGTCCTACGAAAAGCAAAAGGAAGAGCACACGTATAAGTGACTGAGTGGCAAAATATCGATCATTAGCGTTAGGTACCACACCTACAACATACAAAACAAAGTCACTTCATACTGCTTAATAACCGCCAATAAAATTATCTAAAGTTACCTCCTACGTGCAGTTGTTTTTACAGTCAAAGTGAAATTAAGATGCTAAAAGCTAATTAACCTATTATTTACATGACAGGGTATGTAAAGTTAGCTTGCTTTTCATCAATAAACTTACATTACTATGGTAATACCACTTAAAGGCGAGCTGTTTGTTGATTGTTAGCCATTTATTACTGAACAGTACATTCTCAAGATTACACGTTACCGAAATGCCTCAGTACTGCCCTGGTACTAATAAGAAACCAGGCTAGCTCAGCAGTAGTATTTTCTGTAATGTTTCTCACCAGCTGTTCCTCCTTTGCGGATGGAAGAGACGGAAACTGGAGTTTGTTCTTTTCGTCCATGGTGTAATATTTTAGGCCGTTATTCAAAAACGGAACAACGGGAGCGCCGCCGAAGTGGTTTGTTGGGGACCTCCACGACGTCCACATGCAGGTCCGCCATGCCGCTTCCGCTATCGGCTCGTCACGTGACCGCCGCACGCGCTGGGGACTGCGAGCTCGCGCCGTGCTCCTGTGATCGCGCGCAGCACAGCGTAAACGTGTCACTCATTGATCCCTTTGGAGCTGGTCTGTTCCTGTAGGTGCGGCGTAATACGGCACACAAATCTCAGACTTAATCCCGCGATTTTCATGTACCTTCATGGATCTCTTCATGGGTCCCGTGATCTCTAGATGTGAAACAATTTTATTATATTTAATTACGTGAATTTGCGTGCGAGATCAGAGATCCAACTCCCAGGAACAGCTAACCAATTCGTACCAATGAAATAAAATAAATAATTATAAACCTGTAAAATTATGACAACCAACAAAAAGAGATATTACACGTTGTTCCAGCCATGTCTAATGTAAAAATAAAGTTCTTTTATTATAATTGTGAGATCACATGAAATTGTTAGAGAGAGAGCACATGAGAGATGGAGGCCGGGGTGTACCATGGATGTGATTCCAACCCACTGCATAGCACACACGCTTTCACATGTCTTACAAACACTACCTAGTCTGTCTATGGACAGTGGGACAAAACCAAGGATCTACCACAACTTCAGAAAGCTCTTGCTGCAGGAAGTCGAGGTACAGATACAGTCCTGATCCGTCCCTCGGTCCCGTTTCCATTTGGGAGGTCGTCCCATCCCAGTGCCCCTGCATGGGATCTCATTCTTCCCCATGTCCTTTTCTCCTCCTTCATTCCTTAGGACCCCAATGTATCCTTTTCACTTTCCATGCTTTATAGTCTCCTCATCAATCAGGCATTTGATCATGTCATCCTCCTCTTCTTTTTCACAGAACCTTGTTCATCTCTCTAGTCCACAGCTTTTCCTTCCCCCATCGCCTTTCCCCTGCCCTGACCGCACTCGCAGTCCATCTCCCAGCATACAGTAATGGCCAGCAGTGCTTAATGCATCTCCACTATCTACCAAGTAAAATACCCACCAGCTTACTCAGCTGATACCCCAACACACAACTGCCCTCATAATTTACACACATTTCATGACACTTTGTCTCACACCCTGCAAGAGACCAAAATTAAGCAAAGATTACACAAAACTCTCACTGGAAATAGGGCATTATTTAGCTAACTCCACACTTAAGTTTCCTTGCCATAGAAGATATTCACAGACATACAAACTGCAAGTTTCAATGGTCTGAAAACACATCTGCAAATAGTACAGTGGCCTGTTCAGTTTTATTCTGATTCTTTTTTTCAAATGGGAGTATTTTACACTGTAGTGATTATGTATACAGGTTTCATCAGGGGACACAGACAGTTTACAGGCTGTTCTAGAGCGGTTTACTCAGCGGAGTCCTTGGGGACCCTCCAGACAGTCCACATTTTGCTCCCTCCCTGCTCCCTACCAAGAGCTGAGAGGGAGCAAAAAGATGGAGTGTGTGGGGGTCTCCGAGGATCGGATTGAGAAACACTGGTGTAGCACATACATGTTCAAGTGATTCTAGTTAATCTGCCCCCCCCCCCCCTGTATTTGTACTGGAATTTGGACATCAGACCCAAAAACTCAACCACTGACAAAGTCAACCGATCAAATAAACAAAACAAGTTTTTTTTTTATTGGACATACAGAAAAAGAACATGGGTGGGTAATAGTTGTGTACTTGCTCTAAAGTTATATTCTTAATACAGAAATGACAAACGTTCCAAGTTTTTTTTTGTTTTTTTTTTGTTTTTTTTTTTTTTAACACACCAGTTTGTTACTGGCTTTAAACAGGCTTGTAATCCAGCTTGGATTCAAGCTTTTTAGAATCGGCCACCTTGCGCACCGCCTTCATGAAGTCTTCCTGAGTCACGTACTCCTTAAATGCACGGATCGCAAACATACCTATGGGAGGGGGGGGGGAAAAAGGGTAAAAAATGTTACAAAAAAGTCATACATATTCCACTGTATTTCCACTCAGATTTTAGTAATTCACCTGCTTCAGTGCACACATTCCTTAAATCTGCTCCATTAAACCCGTCAGAAAGCTTCACGATCGCTTCATAATCTGCAAATAAAAGTAAAACACCTTAAAAACTGCTCTTTTAACCTTACACAATCTGCTACTGTTAATGTTAAAACACCTAAAAGTCCCAAAAAGTTGAGGTATCGTCAAAACTTGCATTTAGTTTCCCACAGTCTATTTGGAATGTCTTAATTAAAATGTGAGCAGGATGAATGCCACTTTGGTTTTTACACCTCTCCTCAGGGGCACCTTAGACATTCCATGTGTTCATTAAATTTCACCAGCAGCTCAATTAACTGATAGTTAAATAATTCAATGAGGTATTAATCAGCCAAACAAGATGTGCTAGAGGTCAAGCTGAAAAAATAACACATGGGTGCATTGAATGCTACATATACTGGCGTGATTTTAGGTTTTCAAATGGCTAACAGCTTTGACAGACAATATTACAGGTTTCACATCAACATACAGATCATTTAAGCATTTCTTTCACTGCCTAAGACTTTCATACAGAACTGTATGTCAATGTGACAGACTAGGTATAGGACTGCTTTTGGAAAAAAATTAACTGCTCTGTTACAGTTATTGCAGAACAGAGTGACAATTCTCAGTTCTGGATAGATCATTTTCTCCCTATTGCTGTTATCTGGACTCAGAATGAGACTAAACACAAGCACTAACTTTTGCAGGTAACCAATGACATACTATTCCCTGGACATACCCCATGTATTAAATGGCAGACAGATTCACATCTCACTGTAAGACCGACCTATGTCTCCATGCTTGGTGATGGGGCCAGAATGAATCTTCAGGATGTCAAGGCGGGCCTGCTCATTGGGTAGCTCAATGTCTGAAAGTGATGGAGACATAAAGCACCATGTTTGTAAGCCAAGGCACGAGGCTTCTATGACGTAAAATGTTAATAATAACATTGCATTTTATGCACATGCACCACAAAGAGCATAATAGTCAACTGGGTTGAGAAATTGGTCAATATCTAGTTTTTCATATCATTCAGACACTGTATCGTGGTATATGGTATTTTAACTTTTCATAAGCAACAGTAATCCGGTATTTTGAAATCTCAGTGATAAAGTTCACCAATATCATCCACTCACCCCCTGAAAATCCGAAATACCGTGGAATAGTTTATTACCGCAATTCCACTCATGAATAAGTTATTGTAAGACTTTTTTTTTTTTTTTTTTACTGTCATAGGAAACAAAACTAGTACACTTTGCAATTTTAATGACTGTTCTTTATCAAGATTATCTAATACAGTGGTGCTTGTGGTTCACGAACACTGTGGTCTACGAACAATTCGGTTCACGACCAAAAATTTAGTGAAAAAAATTCATTGATTCGCGTACAAAATTTGGCCGACAAACAGATTCCTTCTTTTTATACAGTGTCCCAGCATGCCCCAGCATGCCCCACGTGCAACTGTAAATAGAAGGACCACAACAGGCACCCAACCAGCACCGAACCCAAATACACAGACAGGAAACAAAGTTGTCAGACGCCGAACTGCAAGATGCACACACAGTGTAAGATTTACACATGATTTCCGCCCGTCGCCACACTATATTGTGTTTTTCTTTCAAGTTTTTACTATAAAACCAGAAAATTAACAAAAAATGATTGTTTGGTAGGCTTGCGAACGAATTAATCGAATTTCAATGCTTGAACCGCAGGCACCACTGTATACATTTTAAAAACCAGTTTCATGTTTACCGCCGCTGCTGTTGCACGAACTCTGCATCCGCTCTCCGAGTAAATCAATATATTTCATCTTTGCTATCGAATTCATTCATAATGATTATGATTTATGAGAAATTGAACAAATTGAGTGGAGTAAAGCTAATAAGAACTGGTCATCAAAAGGACATTATCTTCCTGCAGTTCAGAAAAATTCTGGATTCCACAGAGACGGCATTGAGCTAAAGCAAGTATTTTGTCAGCACTTTGTGTGTCTGTTAGCACAACTCGCAGTAACGCCACCAAATTATTTGACAGACTCTTGGCAGATAAATTCTATTTGGCTATAGTTTATTTTTGGGTAAGTTTTCAACTCCTTTTTTTCTTTATAAATATTACAATACTTATTGCAACAAAAAAAAAAGATCACTTCATGATATTTTTTCCAATATCATGCAGCCGTACCAGGCAGAGTGACAAATATACTGATTTGTTTTATACACGCTCCTGTTGCTTTGGATACTGAAACAGAGCATAAATATAATGACCACAGTCAGGTAAAGGCAACAAGAGAGAAAGCTTACGAATCTTGCGGTCCAATCTGCCAGGTCGTAAGAGGGCAGGGTCCAGGGTGTCGGGCCGGTTGGTGGCCATAATCATTTTGACTCGGTGCAGAGTGTCAAATCCATCCATCTGGTTTAGCAACTAAATGGCAAACAAAAATATGAAGAAATATTTAACATGTACAATGTCATCTGAAAAACAAACAATATTGAAACAAAAAGGTTTGCACCAAAAATAATAAAAAAAAAAGTTAGCTGATCGTATGTTGCAGACAGACTAGAAGCTCACCTCCATCAGCGTCCTCTGAATTTCTCTGTCAGCTGATGTTCCCTCAGAAAAACGACGGCCACCTTTAAAAAGCCAGAGATAGCATCATTCCTCAGAGGTCAGCCCCAATCCCATGTAGGGCTGCAAAATTCTGGGAATTTTCCGGTTATTTCCCATATATTCCCATTCATTCCCATCTAAACTTTCCAACTTGGAATATTTCCAAAATTCCCCATCTAAACTTCTCATGAAATGGAAAGTTTCCAGATATTTTCCGCCCCTTTGCAACCTTACTTAACACTCTCGTTATTTTTCTCAATTATCTGTTAAACCTTCCAACGTAATAGTCAAAGAAAAGTAAAGCATGAGATTTTGGGAGAGATTTAGTATTCTGTGCAATCCAACTAGGCACAACTCCTCCTTTCTCCCTCGGCTGGAACGGAGCCCATGGTGAGACCTCCGACTATGTGATTACCTATAGCATCAATCTCGTCCATGAAGATGATGCAGGGCTGATGGTCCCTGGCGTAGTTGAACATTTCTCGGATCAGCCTAGCACTCTCCCCAATGTACTTGTCCACAATAGAGCTGGACACCACCTACAGCGCACAGAACGAGTGTATTCACTGCCAGGCAAACAGATTAGGTAATAATGCGAGAGATACAGGGCAGCGGTGGGGGGGGGGGGGGGGGGAGAGAGCCCACCTTCAGGAAATTGCAGTCAAGCTGACTGGCAACTGCTCTGGCCAAAAGGGTCTTTCCAGTACCTTTTGCAAAAAGAGACAAAAAATAATTATGACAGGCTCATATTTATGCTCAAGAAATTACATACAAAAATTTAACTACTGAGAATCTGACAGCTTTTACAACATCAGTGTAGTAATCACAGCCCTGCTTTGCAAAAGCTAGAAATCCTGAAATATTACGAGTCTTAGTATCTAAGGGGATATGTTCACCTGGGGGTCCATAGAGAAGGCAGCCCTTTGGGGGGATAATGCCCACCCTGTGGAAGAGCTCAGGGTTGGTCAGCGGCAGCTCGATCACCTGAACAGGGAATTTAAAGTAAGACTGTGCAGGGAGGATAAGAGTGGGGAGTCTAAGGGACATGGGACAGGTCGCTGGCACGAACCTCTCGGAGCTCTCGGATCTGCTCTGACAGGCCCCCGATCTCAGAGTAGGACACACTCCCCGGGTCCTCGTGGGACATGTTATAAACCAAAGGATCCACTTCTCTGGGCAGGTACCTGTAAGAGCAGATCACAAATGAATCAAATTAAAATGGGCCAAACACACAGCACTTGACCGGGAAACAAAGAATCTCACTTAGTGAGTTCAATAAAAAATCTGTCATGGGACGGGGGGGGGATGCATGATTTAGCTGGTCGTAGAACTGCTAGCTCTGGATGTTTAACTATCCAGGGGTGGCACTAGGGAGGGGTTTGGGGGCACTGTAACTACCCCTATAACAGCCATAGCATAGCATGAATACTATAATGTAACATATTGCCTTATGTTTAACACTGAATGCCATTGTAACTGGCACAGAGCAGGTACTGTGTATGTGCAGGCGTGTTTGCTTACAGGTGTCGGGAGTGTTGCAGTAAACATTAAACTGTGGAAACGGGCATATTAAGGAGAAACCATAACTATCAGAGCAGCCTTGCTTGAAAAGCCAAGCTACCGTATAACATCAGCAAAAAAATCTCTGGTGCCACCCCTGTACATACATGGTAAGAGGAACAATATGGCTGATTCTAAATGTGCTGGAAAGGCTATTTTATGTATATAACCGGTGATAGCGTCAGGGCTGCAGGTTCTCCCTCTGGTTTTCATACCTCATGATGGTCAGGGTGGTCATATCAAGGGCCACTCGCGTCCCAGGCTTAAGCTTAGATTTATCCAGCTGTGTCCAACAGAAAGGCACGGTCACTCACTCATGCCAATCGCAACAGCCCAGGGACTGAATTTTCACTTTATGACTAAGACCCTACCTGTCGACGGCAGCCAACGACATATCGAGGTCCATTGGTGGCTTTGACAATGACTACAAGATAATGAAGGGTGACACTGCAGTTACAGGACTCGTACGGAAAGACTGCATGGAAAAGCAGTCCCAATGATCACACAAATTCTAAACCCATTTAGCAATGTACATTCCAAGACATTCCAGTAAAAGATTTGTGTCAATATGCGGTGCTGACACTGTACTCACATTTCTCCTCAGTCAGCTGCTTGAGGACTTCACCAACAATCTGCAAAAGAAATACGTTCAGTAGCACCAGCATCATATTACCATAGTATACTTCAGCATAAAATGCCAAAGCGTAAACAGAAAACTCAAAAGGATGTTCTTGTTTTTAATAAGCCTAAACATGAACGGGTAATTTTGTTTATCATCTCACACCTATAGCGTTGATTAGTGGTATTCTGCGACATGTTCACAAAAACTGTCTCATAACTTATTTCCCAGCGAGGTGGATAGTTCTATGCATTTAAAAGTGGAAATGTCCGTTTAGGATAAAAAGGAGCGTGATTAAATCCAAATTCCTAAGAATGCGTAACTTTTACTTGGTAAATCGAAATTCCTAATTGTTAGTCTACTTTGTAGCTCAAAAATAAGTTGTCAGTAAGTAATAGTTATTTGCAATAAAACACACACCATTATTAACGACAAATCATACTAGTTAAACTACAACGGTGGCACAGTCAGCTTCGCGGTCAAAAATAAAATGTTCCCGGGTCACGACGGTTCCAGTCACGATATTTCGGCGATGGATAATTTTTTTTCATTTTCAGTGCATTATTCAATGAATTAACTGAGATATTCAACATTTTATTACAAAATAGTTTTTGTGTTAATGGTTTTGCCCAACAGTAGGCTAATGTAAGTGTTCTGAGCATGTTTAAGGCCTGCTACATGTTAGGCTATGATGCTCGTCAGGTTAGGTGCACTCTATTAAAAGGCATTTTCGCCTTACGATAGTTTTATCGGAATGTAACCCCATCGTAACCTGGGGAGAAGCTGTAGTCATTGCATTTTTAGTGACCCAGATGCAACGCTTAAATGACAAATATTCTTACCTGACCCACACTTTGCAACGCCTTCAGATCATTTTCAGACTTTTCATACTGCTTCGTCAGTTCTTTCAGCTGCTCTCTCACTATAAGAAGCAAAGCTCAAATATTAACATCATCAAACATAATAGCCCCTATGCGATCGGTGGCAATTTCCCATCAGAGACAAATGGCAACTAGGTTAATAAAACTGCCGTGATATAAAACATCAATAAAACAGATCTCAGTACTTAATACATTTATTTTTTACTTTAATCGTTTACAGTCATAATAGAGGCAATATATTAAAATGCCCCGAAAGTAAATGTCAGGTGTGCTAGCTGAGTAGCTAGCAGCCGGTCTCAAGGATGACAAAGCGACTTGGCTCATTTTTGCTTACTCCGCTCGTTTTAACACTTGTAACAAAGGGTTCTGTGGCACGACGTACGGTAAACCTTACAGTATAAAATAAAATATTACTATACAACACGTACGCTCTTTCAAACGCCCATCTATTTCCTTATGCTCAAGAAGCTTCTTTCTGTAGTCCTGCAGACCCTTCTCCCTGTTATCCGCCATGTTGTATTGACTGCACGGACCCCGCGCGGCATTGTGGGAATGCCTGGGGTAGACTTTCCGGGGCCCCGCCCCCACATCCGGGCTGGCCAATCAGCTTTAATGATGTTGTGTAATCGCTTTAGAAACCTTGCTGCGTAGAGATGCAGGCATCGAAACCACGTGATGTGGTGGATTTTGTGACCCTAGGAGTTAATACTGTAATGTTATTTTATTTTTGCTGTGTGGAAATCAGTGATGATGTAAAAGTAAAAGTGTGCAAATTCCACTTATTTAAATGTTACTTTTATCAAAAATCAACTTCTGAAGCTGTTGTTGGTAGTCTACTGATAATCATGCAGGTTTCCTTCATTCTTAAACTTTACTTGTAGTGACAGATATCAGCCTGTAGAGGAAGATCTAGACTCGCTTATATTCAAGTCGTCAATTTAAAATGCCCGAGCTTCCAACCATCTTACGTGGATTTTAATATACTCCTTTTGCAGATTTCATGTCCTTCTTCATGTTTAATTGACGTGTTATCTATCTATCTATCTATATATATATACAGTATATAGATAGATAGATAGATAGATAGATAGATAGATAGATAGATAGATAGATAGATAGATAGATAGATAGATAGATTAAATAAACAGCTATTTAATTATCCTCTTGCATCCTTTTGCTTTGGGCATATTTAATTATCCTCTTGCACAAGTCCAGACTAAAACATATAGCTGCCACTTAGACCCAAAGCACAATAAGAATTTTAGATGTATATTATACCTGATCATGCAATTTAGCTCACTTAAGTCTGTCATTGAGGGAAATTAATGATTTTTCAGCTAGTTTAGGATGTTTAAATAAGCAGCAGGATGTGACTATGCCTAAATACAAGTAAATACTGCACACACAGTACTCCATCCATGTATTCCTCATGTGCATAATGCAGCTTCTATTTTGAGTCCAACTATTATACTTTCATTTTCAAACAGGGAGGTCTTTGGTTGCTTCTGATTCGAGACATTTAAGTATATGTTGCTCCTTCTGCTGTAAATGAGAGAGCTTTCCCTGTGGTTGTCAACATAAGCACAGACGTCTTCCACTGGTTTTCCATGAGGTGCATGTGAATCCAGTCTTTGCTGTGGCTGTTGTCCATACACTGCTTCACTGAGTTGAGTTGCTGGGGGGTTGCAGTCAGGTCCGTCTGTATAAACTTTTGGAGATATTTCTCGAGTTTCTGTAAACGTTTATGTCATTCAATTGCATGCATTTCCTTTTCTGTCTGTTGGAAGCTAATTTGGAAAGAATAAATATAGGTATGTCTGGATGAAGCATAACATCCAAAATAGTTCCAGTGCCTCCAGACACTGGATGGTGTTGTTATCTTTTAATTGTGAAGCCTTTATTCTTTATATATTCTATAGTTTTAATTTTTGACAGACGATAAGCTAAAGCCATTCCTGTAGCAGTCTGTAGACTTTTGTCCTGTCTCACAACCTGTTGTCAAACCTGATTCTTCTCCCAATACTAAAGCCAACATTTAAAGTCAAACATCAAGTCCATGCAAAAATATTTGCTTTTGGTTTGACTATGGATTTCAGTAGGACAATTTATTTTATATTTGTAAACTCAGAAATACGGGCTATAAAATTTGCAACGGTTGGATGTGTGAGACTGAAGACTGTGTTTAATTTAGCAGGCCATATCTATGTTGTTTGTGTGTCTAACCAAACGTGGCAGTTTCAGTCTCATCGCACGCTCTCCAAAGCAAAATTACGACATTTGTGTCACATGAGAACATGCATATTCCAAGCCTGTAGATGCCAAGTATGCCCAGCATCGTGTTCCCTCAGTGTTCTCCTTATCATGGCAGCCTTAGTTGGTCTGAAGTAACGCCCAGCACAACGTAGCATTGTAGTGATCCTGACATCCTGTGCTAGACATCTTAACCTGTTGGTGTTGTGGCTGAGTCAGTCTCTTCAGTGTGGGAAGATTCAAGTCTTGGACAGAAGAGTTGCCATATAAGTAAAAAGGACCATCAGAAGTCCATGAGCTTATCTACAGTATTATGTGAGAATATTTACATGACTATTAACCATCTAAAAATATGTGAAGCTTTTTTTAAGGGGAATGTGCAGTTAAACATTTTCAAATGCTTCTTTTCGAATGTTTCTTGTCTGGTCTTAATTTATTGTGCCGCAGTTATGGGTGTGGAAGTCTTCTCAGATATACAATGATTTTGGAATCTGCTTCATTTAAAGCATCATTCAATAACAGAACCTCAAAAAATAGACCGAAGGGAAATGGTGACCATTTTTACTTGTTTTCCTTCTTTCCCGGTCCTTAACTTGTCACTTAATGTAGCTTTTACAGTCCAGGAAAGTGTCAACATTTTCTGTTCTGTGTAACAATAATAGATAATATATCGATAGGTAGTGATTATAATTTTCTAAAAAATTTTGGAGAAGAGAAAGGCCTGTTTTCCATCTATCTATGTTCTAACCGCTTACCTATCCCAGGCTGCACAGGGCATAAGGCAGGGGTAGACCCTGGAGGATGTGCCGGTCTATTGTAGTGCACACTCCCACATATACACTATCAGCAATCCACTCTCAGTATCATGACCTGATGTGTGTTTGAGGGATTTGTGTGCCTAAATCCTCAGAGCTATGTCATCTGAAACTGGAGCTCCTGATAGGACAAACAAGTCAGTGGGGAGGGGCCAGACAAACTATAATCAACAACGGCTCTAATGAAATGTGCTAAGAAGAAGATATCAGGTAGGGGTCAGCTTCAGTACCTTAGGCGACAGGCATGAGCGACCAGGACCCAGATGGATTAAACTTTGGCAACTGGAAACATGGAACATTACCTCTCTGGTAGGGAAAGAACTGAGGCCAGCATGTGAGATAGAAATGTGTTTGCACCTAGAGAGGACCTTACCGCCACACGCAGTGTGAGCTCCCTTGGGCAGTAGTGGAGTCTCTTGTACTCTGGGTGACCCCATGGTCAACGACCCCAAATTAAAGTTTGTGAATACTCATTAGTCCCAGGCTAAGGCCAATGCCGCTGGAGTTATTCTCAGCCGACAAGAGGATTGCCACCAGTAGCATTTGGGACACCCCCGTAGCCCCCGCGTTCCTTTCACTTGTCTCTGCTGTCACCAATCATCGGGGACAACGAAAGAATCTGCTGCAAGTCACGAACGAGAACATCTGGTGTTCGAGTTGCTGCTGGGAGAATGACATGGAACACATCCGGGACATTCATTTAGCAGTTTTATGGCAGTGAGACTGCTGCATTTTTATTTAAAACCCCAGTAGCAGGTATTCACAATGCAGAGTTCCTGAAAAACAAAACTTATCCACCCGTCTGGCTGTGGGACGACACCATAAAGATGGGAGCTAATCGGAGGCTTGGTTATACGCTTATTTGGAAACAATCCTACATCGTTTTTCTTGTTTTTTCTTTAATAAGAAACGTTTATTACACCAGAATAAGCCCTAAAAACCAAAACAGTGACAGAGTGCACTCATCTCAGTGAGGTCTTTAAGGCTGTGCCATTTATTCTGCTAAGTAAAGATATACTTTCTCCATGGAGAACTGGATGTTTTCCTGAAGCTCAAATGTGAGTAAAAATTTTCACTGTCACACGCATAAGGCTCTCAGACACGCAGGTGAGGGGCATCCTGGTCACGCCTCAAAACAACTGCCTTGTAGTTTCCATTACATTAACAGTGCAAAAAAGTCCACCGATTCTCAGACAGCCTCCGTTATCCTGTCTTAATCAAACACATATTGGACACCTTCTTGTTTTTCTCAGAAAGATCAAAGCACGTGTGTTTTTTTAATATCCTGAGAAAGGCAGTCCTGCACATATGGTAACACTCTTCCTAAATGAAAATTGACCGCAGCAGCAACACACAGAAGTTTCACACTGTGGTGGTTCAGAACTAATATTGTTCTCCAATGGTGGATCCTGGCAAGGGCATTATGGATGCTGAGGGGCTGCTGATTTAGCAAACCGTGAGTGCCATTGTCACCCCCCACCCAGTCAACAACTTTGCCAACAGCTTGGGAGCAGCGTAACCAGTGGTGGAGGCCAGGTGGACTTGTGCCATTGGGGCAGATAAACATATAATCCCCAAAATAAATTCCAGCCCGGTGCTGACGGTATGCCCTGCAGCGGGTGTTCTGACATTGTGTCATTTTCCGTAATATAGGTTATACAATAGAAACCGGAATCTTCCCCTTGCAAACAGGAAGGCACCTAATAAAGGCTTTGCTCACAATAGAGAAAAGGTGGTGACACTAGGACAAAAGCTACCAGGTTCATATCAGCACTATTATCAGAGGCATGTCATCATCGAACCCCACACCATCCAGACATTATGTGAAAATATCACAGTGTCTGAGAATTTGGAACTGGAATGCAGGCCTGCTCTCAAAAGGATTTACACTATATGGACAAAAGTATTGGGACACCTGGCCATTACATCTACAGGAACTTTTATGGCATCACATTATAAATCCATAGGGCATCGATATGGAATTGGTCACTCCTTTGCAGCTATAACAGCTGCCACACTTGTGGGAAGGCTTTCACAAGATTTTGGAGTGTATCTGTGGAAAATATTGCCCATTCATCCAGAAGTCCATACCAAGACATTTTAGGTAATTCTATGCTTCTTTTGTGAGACCAATCTGAGGAAGTTCCTTTTCTGTTCCAGTATAACTGTGCCCCAGTGCACAAAGCATAGTCCATAAAGACATGGTTGGGTTTGGTGTGGAATAACTTCACTGGTCTGCACAAAACCCCGACCTCAACCCCACTGAACACCTTTGGGATGAACTAGGATGGAGATTGTGAGCCAGGCCTTCACATACAACATCAGTGCCAGACTTCACAAATGCTCTTCTGGGTGAATGAGAGAAAACTGATGATAAAAAGAGGATAGGGGTGGCATGGTGACCCAGTGGTTAGCCCTGCTGCCCCCCCACCTCTGGGACCAGGGTTTGAGTCTCGACCAATGGCTCCACGTGTGTGGAGCTTGCATGTACTCTGGTTTCTCCCC